TGATGTGATATATAGGTATAGTGGTGTGGCGGCTTCTGTGAGAAGATGCAGTATCTGTTGAGATTATTGTCATCCCTCTTTTAATCAAAATTTTTCCTCAAATTTTCACATTTTTTTGAGATTCTCTCTCTCGCGCGCGCAGACACACACACACACACACACACACACACCCGCTCGCCGCCTCGTGCTGGTTTCCGCTGGATTGATTGCCTATCAGTGGCGGATGGACGCGGCTTTTGGTTCCTGAGCCGTGGCTGATTTGAGCTAGGGTTTGAAACGAGTGGTGCTGGGTGCGCGTGACTTTTCGGCCGTTTAGCCGTCGACATGCTGGGTCTGCTCGTACCAGGCCGCCTGGTCGACTTCAACCCGGAACAGGTACACCCGCTTTGACGTGCTGAAGACATTGCTCCGCTCCCTTCACGTGCCATCCTTACGCTCTGATGCTTTGGCGACCCCAGGTCAATCCGGAAGGGACGCAATTTGTCTTCCCATTGCCCGCTCCCGAGTCAGTCAACCACATTTCCGTACGTGGCTATCTCGCGGCTTCATCGTATCTTTTGATATGCATGGTTCACATCATGCGGCCAAGTCCCTGGCTTGCTTCATGTCGCTCATCATCTTGGGGTTGTACTCATTTGCGCCCATGCGCCATGCGGCCTGGTGCTGGTCATGTCCATGTCGTGCTCGTTCAGGTCTTCACACAAGCACCCTTGCCTGATGGGGCTGGAGCTGGCATCTACATCTGTTGGCCCGGGTCGGAGCAAGGTTGGCACTACCTCGGTTATATCTGCAACGAGAAGCCTTCGGCGCTTTTTCGCATTGTCAAGGTACAAAGCTCTCCTGGTCTTTGCACTCGCCCCATGCGATGATGCCTTCTGCGCTTGCACCACGACGGGGAGGATATGCCTACCGCCAGTGTCTCATGACCCATCCACTCCGTTGTTCTTTCGGACTTGCTCTCTGGGCCAGGTCAAGCCACATGCAGCCACGGACATGCCGTTTGGGGCCATGAGCCAGCAGCCTTCATTAGACATTGCTCAGATTGGCGTTTCCTTGGAGCCCTTGCAGGAGCTGATGGGCAAGACTGCGGCTTACAAGTCTAGGTGCGTGCATGCTCCCGAGCTACCGCCGGCCAGTTTCAGAGATGGTCGATTACCGTTATCGGTGCCTCCTATCTGCGCTTATTTCATCTCCTTCTCGTTCTCGTTTTGGCTTTTGACCGACGTTCCCATCGCTCCATCGCTCTATTTCCGCAGCGTGTCCAACGCGTCAGACTTTTCTGCCTTTATCGACTACACTGCGCAAAACCTCGTGGATTTTGTGGGTAGCTTTGCCGTCACGCAGCAAGAGGCAGCCGCTCGCGCAGCACAGGGTGGTGATAGCTGGTTTCCCATTGGTTGTATCAACAAGTGGTATGAAACCTTCAAGAGCAAGCTGGCACACGACCCCACCTTTTGGAGATGATGGGTCAATCCAAAGGCGGGCCGCTCCTTCTCGCCGCGATCAAGTCCAGGCCCGGAGTGGCCCAATTGGTGTGCGAGCATCGTGGATAGAACAAAAAGCTGGAAAACAAGCGCCATCAGGCTACAAAGCTGGTCAGAGAAGATTTTGGAAATCCTGAATTGATATCAAGTGTACGATGATGTTGTCGTCAGCGACCACAACAAATGTCTCCTAGGCTTCGATGGGGTGCGAGGGTCGGGTAATCGTAAACTCGTCCAGCACACTGCCATCAGCCGAGGCGTAATAAGTCCATTGCAGCTTGGTGGGGTCACTGCTTGTCATAATGGCTATTGGTCCGTGCATGGCACCCAGCGTGTCCCAATTAGAAAAACAAAACAACAAAGCAAACAAACAAACAAACAAACAAAAAAAAAAAAAAAAAAAAAAAGATGGGATAACAAGTCTGAACATGCACACGCCGCACACTCAAATTGCCCGCTCGATACCAACCGTAGCCATATTCTTCGAGCCCAATGCGGCACCAAGATTGCTCACAAGAGCCCGGTCCCATGGTATGCTCCTTGTTCTACAGAGCCAAGGTCAGAGGAGAAAGAGAGTGAGAGAGATTGAACACTCACAGGTTAGCTTGATTGCACACAGGGTCGAGAACCGAGACGGTCGCCACTTTGCCCAGGGCAACAACTCCATGCGCTCAGCACCGAGGGACGCAGCAGAATACGTACCCCTGCGGCACCGTTGACAATGTAAACCGGGGCGGTCGGGGCCACGTAGTCAAGGCTGGTGTTGGTTCCGAATGCCGTGGGCCAGGTCACTTGGTAGTTGTGGCGATGCGCCTGGATAACCAGATCCACCGAGTTGTTCACAAAGAGTGCCTCAAGGCCGTCGCGGAGCACCGTGGCTTCCGCCTCACAATCATGATCCTGGAAAAGCGTGGGGTAGGGTCAGCCAAGCCTGTGGCGTCTCATGCGCGAATGCAAGGGAAGGCAGGTGGAGGTGTCCACACATACGTGCTCGCTGCAGTACAGAGGGCGGTGGAGCATCACCACGAGCCAGGGGGTGACGCTGCGGTTGACGGCAGCAAGGTCCTGGGCAGCGAAAGAGGCCTCAAGCACGTGAGCATGTGTCGAAGAAGCCAGGGCCTTGCGCAAGCAATGGGTAGGCGCTCTGACCTTGGCCAGCCACGTGTACATGGGCGAGGTCGGTGTGATGGCTTGGGCGGAGAGACCCATGAAGCCTTCCGAGTTGAGCGAGACAATATGCATGTTGCCGTAGTTGAAGCTGTAGTACAGAGGATCCGAAGAGCCGCTTTCGTTGGCCGGCATGGTGAAGCGGTATTTGTAGGGGTGGAAGTTGTAAAAGCCCTCGTGATTGCCTGGCGAGGTCATCATGGGCACGTAGGCCGCAATGCTCTCCATTTTGCGCATGTGCTCATCCCAGATGGCTTGGTAGCCATCTGCATAGCTATACCGACAAAAGAGCAAGGGACTCACAGATGAGATCTGAAGCGAAATTGTGTTGCCGGACGAGTCGAGTCGCACCCAATATCACCGTCGTGCAGCAACAACTGATATGCGCTGTCTCGCTCAATGAGGAGACGAGAAAACCTAAAGGACATGGGTCGGTGGTGGTGAGAACGGGCCACATGTTTGGCTTCAAAGAAGGGGGTACGGGGGAACACAGAAACAGGGGCGCACGTTAGCAGGCTGGCGTCAGTTGCGCCGGCATCGCCGATGACAGCGATGCGAGTGGACTGGGTGGGGCCAGCTGGGAGTGGGGTGGTAAAGGCAAGCTCGCGAGGCTGGCTCCAAGCGGGCTTCATCCAGTAGTCGGGTGCCACGCTGGCATCCCCGACGCGGTAGTAGTACGTGGTGTTGTGAGCAAGACCAGTCAATTTGGCCGTATTGATGTGACCATTCCAACCACCATAGGAATAGGACGTTTGCGTAGCCGACACGTTGCGGTTCAGGTCTGTCGATGATGTGCCAAAGATGACCGTGGGGGTGGGCGTGGCCTAAACATGAGGCAGATGGGGTGAGTACAGCCTTTACAGGCCACAGCAGGTAAAGGCGATGGATGGCTCGGGGCGACTGGCTGCTGTTCAGGCCAGGCACGTACGTCCAAGGTGGTCCACATGACAACCATTTCCGAGGGGTCCGTGGTGAGGGCAATGTGAATTTGTTCCGGCAGATACGGGGTTGCACAGCAATCGACTTGACACGTTCCTAGCATTGAGCAGAGGGCTCGGGGCGAGTACTGCAGTGCGACCGGCCACATGCACGAGTTGAGTGGGTACGGCGGGCCACGGCTGCTGGGAATTGGCCACGCGGCGGGTGTACGTACCTTGGTGACAATCGAGTCCAGAGATTGATTCAGCTGGGGCAGCAGGCGCACAACTTGATTGCGGCACTGCATCAAGCCCGAAAGAGTGATTCAGAAATTTCATCAGGAGCGGGGGGCAGACGGGAAATCGGAAGTGCGAGGCGGGGAGGGGGTCATGAGTGCAAGGATGAAGTGGGGCGCAAGATCTGGAAACTCATGCTACGCGTCCCAACGGAGTGGAAGCAGAGCATGGTGGGCAGGCGCTGCTTATCGACCTGATAGCGATCGCTGGCGGGCAGCAAGTTGCAAATTTCCTCGAGCTTGGAGATGATGGCCTGAAACACCAACACATGACCATGAGGAGGTCAAAACGCATCAACCACAACGTGGGGAGGCGGGGTGGCTGACGAACTGACACGGGCCACGCGCTACGCACCTCTTGGGTCGAGTTTGCCTCCAAAGCGGCTTCAATATCCGAGATGACAATCTAACATGCCAGCCATTCAGGCGCAAAGCCAGAGAGCGTCAAGTCATGGCAGGTGCGCGCGGTTCATCCAGGCCCTCCGAGGCGCCAAAGCGTCCACAGTACACCCTTTACCTCGCACGATCGACAGGTTGACGGCTCAACGGTCACAGCAACCACATTGTGAGCCAGGGCCAAGCCCACAAGCAGCAGCACGCCCAACCGGGTCATCCCCGCTGCCATTCTTGGTCGTTTCAACTCTGAGAGATAAAATGGAAAAACAGAGAGAGAGAGAGAGAGAGAGAGAGAGAGAGAGAGAGAGAGAGAGAGAGAGAGAGAGATTTGCAGAAGAAATCACAGATAGCGAACACAGTGAGATACAGTCACACCGAATCATCTGACAAATCTAGTGTCACATCCACACTGCGCACTATCATCAGAATACAATACAATAACTTGAACATTGCATATTAACATAACCGCAATAACCTCATGTTCATCTACATAAAGTCCCAATACCTACAAGTTGATTTGATTTTGATTTTTTTTTTTGCGGTAAGAGCGCATTCAGTGTGTGTGTGTGTGTGCGGGGGAGCGAGACGGCTCCTGCTCTTCCGTCCTTCCCTGGGTGGTGCGCGGAGGTGCATGTGGACGCGGATCTGGATGCTGACGTGGTGTATGTGTGTGTGTGTGTGTGTGTGTGTGTGTGTGTGGTAGGATCGTGGGGGTACGGAGACCGTAATAATGGCGATTCGTCAACATGGGGCTCGAGTGCTGGGCAGCCTGATGCGGTCTGCACGGCCGGTGAGCCATGCCCCGCTGCGTCTGCAGCTGCGGTTCGGTGCTACCGCGGCGCCGCCTCTTTCATACGACAAGCTCCGCCAGACATGGGAGAATCATACCCGATCCTTGTATACCTTTTTCGATGAGGTATGATTTCCCCCTGCCTAGTTCTGCACGTGCGTGCCACACGCGTTTGCCTCACAGCTCCAACATGGCGCCTGCTCGGCTCGGCCCGGCCCGGGTCTGTGTAACATGTAGCCCCTCTTGATTGTCGAGGCGCGCCGAGCCGTCCTTACCGATTACCAAGGCCGGGAATACATTGACTTTTATAACAACGTCCATCAGGTGGGTGGGATCGCGATGAATCAAAAGGGTGCACCTCAGTTGCTCCGGTTTGCACTCTGCGATTCCTGACCATGTTTCCTGATGGTGCCTTTTCTAGATCGGCCACAGTGATGCGCGCGTGGCAGAGGCCGTCTATGCTCAGATGCTCAAGAGCTCACTCTCGACTCGCTTTCTATCCGAGGTTACGCCCCGGTACATTGCATATTGAGCTCGCGCCTCGTGTTCCCCAGGCTCCTTTGGGTTTGTCAGGCTCGCCCTAGGTGCATGCGCTACTGCGTTTCTGAGCCTCTTTCCTGTCTGGCCTTTAGTTATATCGACGCACTCATCAGCAAGATGCCCGAATCACCCACTGGCAAGGTTGGCCTCCTTGCGTCGCGCACCTCTTCTCCATTCTCGGGGCAACGAGTCGTGTGCTTGCACGCTGTATTTGTGCCTTTTGTGACGCTTTCAAGTCATCTTGTTGTCGCGTGTCGATGATCGGCTCGCTTGAATCCCGTCCGGTCAGGGCTGGTCAGTTTTCCTGGTCAACAGTGGCTCTGAAGCCAACGACTTGGCCATGCAAATTGCCCGTGACTACACGGGTCGCCAGCGAATCGTAGCCATCGAGGTCAGCATCGCAGTCGCTTGAGTAGCCATGTAAGAGTGTATGAGTGTGGGCTCGAGTGCCTGTTTCTCACGGACCTTCTCGTGCAAACACCAGAACTGCTATCATGGCATCACCTCTGCCATCAACGAGATCAACTCATCCTCCTCCACCGGCATCAGCGCTAGCAAGGGCAGCGACGCGTCTGCGGTATGGACCCCAATCAAGAAGCTTGTGGATTGAAATGCCAGGCCACCATCAAACGCGGTAGCCAGGTGTGCGTAGTGGCGGCGCCCTGACACTGCTCATGCTTTGCTGCATTTCCATTGTGCTCCTGTGTTCGCGGCGACGGGGTCCAGTTTTCTCGTACAGCTGTGGTTCCAATGCCCTGGGTAAGAAACGTGCAACATGAGTATCAACTTCATCAAGAGCTCTCGCTGTCAGCTGGGCTCATATCCATGCTTCATGAGTAGACTTTGGAAGAGGGCGTGGCGAGCAGCAAGGCGGTACTGGACGGTGATGGCACGGCAGAATCGTACGATCCGATGATATCTGAGCCGATTGCCACGTGCTTTACAGTCGCAACTTTTTTTTTTTGTCCCATCAGATCTTCCTTCACCCTTTGCCTGCCTGATATCATCCCACGTGCAGCGCTCCCGCAGCCTTCATCGCCGAGACTGTCCAGGGGGTCGGCGGCAACGTCGACTGGCCCGACGAGTACTTGAAGGAGGTGTTTGACCATGTGCAGCAATTGGGGGGCATCACCATTGCCGATGAGGTTTGTGCCCAGAGGCGAAATGTCAAAATTTGAGGGCAATGGGCGGAATCAGTTTCAAATTTACCATCGTTCTCCTCCTCGCACTCCTGGGGTTCAGGTGCAAACGGGCTTTGGACGCTGCGGCACCTTTTGGGGCTTTGAACGGGATGGCGTCATCCCGGATATCGTGACAATGGGTTGGTATTCTCCAACAGGGGTTCAAACAGTGAGCTTGAGCGATTTGAAAGTAGATAGCTGACCATTGGCCTGCCAAATCGTTTCTGCACATGCAGGCAAGCCGATCGGCAATGGTTTTCCCCTGGGCGCGGTAGTTTGTCGTACTGAATTGGCCGAGGCTATCGAAGATGCCAAGCTCTTTTCCACCTTCGGTGGCAACCCCCCCGCTGCTGCCGCTGGTGAGCACTTGATGAATGGCAGGCAACAAGTCCATTCATTTTGTTCCGTTTTGTTGTGTGTTGCTGCCATGCCGTGTGATGGAGCCCCACGCCTGTCCCTTTTGCGTTCCATTAACCAGCGCTCCTTTGCTCTTGTGTGCACGCCTCTCAACTCCATCAGGCCTGGCCGTGATGGCTGCGATTGAAGAAGATAATCTCGTTGCTCGCGCCGCCAGTATGGGCGCCTTCTTGCGCAGCGGTCTCGAATCGCTTTGTGACGAGCACCCACACGTCTTTGAGCGCGTGACGGGTCGTGGCCTGTTCCTCGGTGCGTTGCTCTAGCTTGCAGAGGATCAAGGCATTGGCCTTTGCCCGATTCGCTCGACTCGTCGTCTTTTCTCCTTGCCAAAGGCCAAGCGTTGTATTTGCAACTGTGGTGGTGTCACGCGTCCCATGATCCCAATGTCGGCAGGCCTCCACCTGCGCGTGCCGTCAGCTGCCAAGAAACACCCGCACATGCCGGCCATTCTGCAAGAGTGTCTGGATCATGGTATTGTTCTTGGCAAGGGTGGCATTCATTCACATGTCCTCCGGTATGTACTATTCCATGGGATGTGGCTAAACGAGCAATGTGCGCACCGTGCGGGAGGCATATCCTTTCTTTCATGGCCATCCTCAATCCTCATTCCGGGCCTGCACCGGCGCGCAGTTTCAAGCCCCCATTGTGCATTGAGGAAGATCAGATTTACCGTTGTCTGCAGGTCGTGCGTGATGTGTGTGTCAAGCTGGCTTGAGCAGATGGCTGTGCCTCATGATAGTTTTCTATGCCAGCGCGCCTGCGCCCTTCTGGTTTCCAGTCAGTCGTTTCATTCGAGAACTGGTATCATTGTCTCCTCAAAGAAGAATTCACACGCTGTCAATTAGGAAGCAAACAAACACTCGACATCGGAACTCTCGAGGAAGAATAGAGAACAAACAAAAAGAACAAGGAAAGAGGAAAATTTGCATAAAAAAAAAAAAAAAACAAAGAAGAGAGAAGAAGAGGCTCGGGTGCCACAATTCGCTTCATTAGTTGGAATCGGCTCAGCCGTCACAATCATCATTTATTTGCAGAGATCTTACCCTCTGAATACACTCACATGCTTCGCTTCAAAAGCTCACGAGCGGAAGCAAAAGGAAACAAAACAGGACTTGAAGGACTCATGCTGATCCTTGCCCACACGCATGCCAGCAGCTGGCTGTCCCATGGCATGCTAGATACTCACGTGGCCTTGCAAAGACTTGATGTCTACCCCTGACGCCATCAAGGTTTTGATCACGCTCTGGCGCGCTGCCTCTTCGGCATCCTCAGTGGAGTCACGGCGAGACACAATGCCCGACAAGATGGTCAAGCTGGATTGACGACGTGGTGACGTCGGGACGCTGCGCACTTCAAACGCCTCATGCCGCTGCGGAATGATCGGTACATCGGTGAGGATTCACTTCAGTCGTCGGAATGGACGAGCGAGCTCTTGTCAGGCCTGTTGTTGCCGGTGGCGATAAACCACAGCAGGACCATCCACACAAACACAAAATGTACAGTGATGACTTACTTCAGCCTCCATATCCATCCGAGAGGCCTGCCATTGCTCACTTTCAGCAATTGCCAGCACATTCTCTGACACGTCCTGATAGGGGTTGCCGCACATCATCGAGTCAGTCTTGGAAGCAGAACAGTCGCGATCAAGACGTGACCATATCACATACCGTTTGACACCACGGGTCCTGGCGGACTTCGGCCATGGTTACACGAGTGTGTGGATCGGGATTCAGCATGAGACGCAGCAAGCTTGATGCAAGGTGCCGAACAGGAGAGTGTGGTGAGGGCTACAGCCAAGTGAAGGATGCCCCCCTTCATATCTTATGAACTGGTTGCACCTGAATAGCGCACTTTTTCCCACCCAAAAGCCAGAGTTTGGACCACGAGCGACCAACGAACCTCAGCAAGGTCTTTGAGATGACGCGAGGTGGCAAGAGAATGCCTTGAAGTTTTTCCTCCACGTCGAAGAAAGGCTGCTCAGAGAAGACAAGCATGTAGAGGGTAAAGCCCAGTGCATAAACGTCCAAATCCGGTCCATAGTAGCTATGAACACAGGTCAAGGCCGTGAGCTCCCACTTCTTGAAAGTGAAGAAGAATACAAGCAAGCACAAATAGACATCGACGGGGCTTGGAATCAAGTCAACCGCACGTGGCTTGAAAGCTCTGGGCAAACTCTCAACCACTCAATATATCATGTGTCTGGAGATGACATCATGGGCATGGTGCTTACTTTTCGCCGCAGAGAATGCGGGGGCAGCAGTACTCGATGGTGCCCGGAAACACGCTGAATCGTGTGTCTTCCGTAAAATGAGTGGCACTTCCAAAATCAATCAGCTGAACACGCAAATCAAAGTTCTGATCGCATGCCACGGGGAGCAGCCCGGCGGTGAGCACGCATACAGGGTCATTGGAATAGCTGCAACAACGGTTAAAAAAAAAAAAAAAAAAAAAAAAAAAAAAAAAAAAAAAAAGTGAGGCCCGCAGAGCTAGTCTTTCAAAGCCACATACCACCAGTACATTCTCGCATTTGATGTCGCGATGGCAAATGCCATGATCGTGTAGGTACGCCACTGCCTCAGCCAGCTGTCAACGGGATGCAATGTAAGTTGAGCGAGCTGCTGCCGGTTGCCACATCGAACCCACAATTCTGGGATATGCCACCAAGCACACACCTGTCGAAAGAGATAGCTGCACAGCGGTTCCTCAAGACCACCATTAGAGTCGATAAATTCGCTGAGATCAAAGCCCGGGCAGGTTTCCGGAAAGACCATCTGCAACGGGGGGCAAAATTGCAAAATTAGGAAAGAATGCAGCACGCTTGCAGTCTGGTACAAGGCGTCGACTAGCCGACCTGATAAAAGCTGTCGTTCTCGTAGACTGCATCGACGTGAATGATGTTAGGGTGTTGCAGTTGGCATAGGATGGCAATCTCGGCCGGAACTGGCCCTGCAGACAATAAATGCACGCAGTTATACCCAGCACGGTCAGGGCGCGGGTGCATGTGCACGACAATCGCAAATGCTACATCCAAAGCCTTGGGACAAGTCGCCCTACCATCGTTGTCGAAAGCATCTCCCTCTTCGGGCACGATGATGTGCACGGCCGAGGTGCGTTCCATCCAATTGTCAGCCGGCACCTTATCCTTGACGATGAATTTGACCTGCACCACTTGCAACATGAGACAGCGCATCTCAGAGTATCCGCGACAACGACGCCCGGGTCCGTTTACAGCCGATTGTTTGTGTTAAAACGACGTACCACAGCATAGCTGCCATCGGCACGGCACTTTGCTCGGCAGACAAAGCCAAAGCCACCTGAACCCAGTTGTTCACCAATCTGATACTCCTCGAGCAGCCGACCATCCAAAAACTGTGCAGACGAACATGAGCGTGAAGATGGGTCTGCCGACTCAGATGAGACGACACAGAGGAACAACACGGGGCACTCTAAACCAACCAAAGAATTGTCATCTGTGCTTTGGAGGGAACGATTCAATTGGGTTGCGCTGCGATGAGCCACTGGCTTGTAGTCAGACATGGACGACGAGTCCTATCCAGCAGTGGGGCACAGAGGGGTGGATTTGAGGGCCCAGTGATTCTCAAGGATGAGCAAACTCGTAAGCGAGGAGCTCAAAGGGCGCGAGAACCGCGGCAGATTCTGGCTTGCCCAGCTTCAAAAGTGCTGAAAGCCGAGACTTACCAGCGCTGTGTGGCTGTGTCGGTGCATTGCCATCGACATGGAGAAGGACTGCCGAGCACTGGCATTGCTATGGGGGCGTAGGATGGAGGGTGAGCTCGAGTGAGCTGGAGAGCCAAAAAGAAAATTCACGGTCCCCGACCAGCCAGGCCGACCAAGCACAAATCAAGAGGTGTTCGAAGCGAGCCCGTACGGTGACCGGGCAGAAATCGATGACACACCCAGAAAGCGGTCCATGAAAAAGGACGGGCGCATCAATGACGGTAATGCTCACGACGAAGAGCGAGCTTCCCGTTTTCAGCTGCACGCGCTTGATCTAGACAGTGCAGAGTCGTCAGTGCAAGCTCCAGAACGAAGATTTTGGCGCATCGCATTGCATGGCATGGCTTACCAAGTATGAGATGGGGAACTCGGCACCGTCGCGGTGGCGGCCCACACCATCGTGCTGGCCTTGAAAAATATGGCGGCGGAGCTGTTGCTGCGATGATAAAGACGCGAGCGAGGACCGGTCACCAAAACAGGGCGAGGAGGCATCCGAGTGCTGCAACGGCGAGATGGTAGCGCCTAACAACAAAGGAGAGTACAAAACGTCAAATCCATGCCATCAGGGTTGGGGGTAGCCATGAGTACAGTGCTTGATAAGTTGAGAGTAATTGGTGCAAAATCACGCACAACTCTCTTGCAAACGTACTTAGCGCATCCGACTCGCGGTAAAAGTCGGGAATCAGCAGCTCGATCGATTGGTCGACTATGTCTGGCAGCTGTTGGCCAAATTTGAGGCGCACAAAGGTGTTGTTGGCGCCGAAAATGGAGCCGTCTTCGCGGATCGTCACAACACCTGAGAGCTGGACAAAGATTGACTGCGTCAAAATGTAGATATCATGATCCATGACGGCCGAGTCAGCAGCGGCCTCAGCAATCTCCTCCCTCTCAGAGCTGGTCGCGCGGAAAATATCGAGCTGAACCGGTACGGGGTGCTCGTGAGATTCGAGACCAAAGCTCGTGCAGAATACGCTGACAGCACGGTGGTTGTCCGAGGAAGGAAGCTGCAGGACTGGGCAGGGCGAGGTTGCTTTGTAATGTTCCACATCGTCCAAAAGCGTGGCATCAGGGTCAGGGGTGGAGGCACTCTTAGTGGTGCTGTTCTTGCTGCGGCGGCTGGAGCGTCGCCGCTGGGGGCCAGTGGGGGTCTTTTGACTGTGCTCGCTGCTACGTGCGATGATAGCGTGGCGTGGCGTCGGCCCTCCTTCGGCTGACGCTGGCCGGGTGTTTGGGGCGCGTAGGGCCGCAGCTGGCAGGATCTCATCGTTCCATTGCCCCGCGGATAAGCTGGGAAACTGATCAAAAAGAGTTTCATGTCGCAGCACCTCTGACGTCGTATCGTGCAACTGGCAATACTCATCGTCAGCCCATACTGTTATTGGGAGCGTGCGGGGCAACCCACGAGAGTGAGTGGGACAGGAAGCGAAAGAAGAAGTCGAAGAAGGAAAAGGGGGAAAGAGAACAAGCGCAAAGCGCGCATGCCTTGCCGATGGGGCAGCGTCAAGTCTTTGGCAATGCGGCACGCACCTATCCGGGCTTGGGCATCGACGGCCAGGTAGGCGATGGCACTCAGCATGGGCTCGATGATGGCGATGTAGCGGGCTTCGGCGCGCTCGTCCTCGAGGCATTTGATCCACAGAGAGACTGGCAGCTGCTCACCATCGGCCGTCAGGATGACCACAACGTCACTGGCAGCATTTTTGTGCTATTCACAGGCGGGACCAATTCGTTATCAAAGGGTGGAGAATGGCAGTCAATGTACACACACTCTAGGGGCAGAGTGCAAAGAAGGCGTTGTTGTCAAGCAGTACCTACCTCGGGGGATATGGCAGCGGACTGTGACAGCATCTGTTCGAGCAGGCTGGCACCGGAGCTGGCTTCAGCGCGGACTACAAAGTCGTCGATGCTATGGCCAATGATTTTCGAGGGCTGGACAAGATAGGCGGCCAATAAGAAAGCCGGGGCAGTGTCTCAGGGGGGGAAGGGGGACACAGAAGATATGACCCCTGGCGCCACCGGAGGGCTGCACCAAAAAGTGTGACGCACCTGCCAGCCAAAGACAACGGTTGCCTTGCTGTTGGCAGTGAGAATGCGTCCGTTGGCAGCAACGGAGAGTACAACCTTGTTTTGATGGCGCCGAACCAGCCCCTCCTCCCTATTTATAAAAGGTCCGAGCGAGCGGTGGTTAGATGGAGCAGCTTGAGCAAAGGACGGGGATATGTCCAAGATATGACTTTGGGGAATGGGGCCAGCACGTGGCGACGTACGAGGCTTGGTTGGTCATGTCCAGCGCAGATTGGAAGAGCCAAGAACTGGAGAGGGGCCCTGCCCCGCTGCGGAGAAAACTACCGTTGGGGCCTGCAGACGAGGCTAGGTCGGCATGGTCGAGTGAGCGCTAGCTCACTTGAAAGGGGGGAGAGCAGCTGGGGCACTTGAGCGGAGGTGTCAGCTCTTACCCGAACCCAAAAAGCGCTCGGTGCTGACAGAAAGCGCGTCGGGACCTTCGCCATAGAGCAAATTGGCACCGCGTACGCCTTCCAGACCTATGGAAATGCCTGGGGCAAAGAGCGGGGCAAAGGACCGGGTTGAAACTGCACCATATGGGTCGGACTGGGCGCGGCCGAGGCGGGGCAAACCTGTAGATCGCCGCAGCGAGGTCTGTCGGATATGCATCATGTCCATCGCGCAACAGGCACCCCGGATGAAAAGTGAGAGATGGGGGTCGCGAGGGTCATCGCGTCGAAGCATCGAGGAGGCCAATCGTACCGGCTGGGGTGCAGGGCTAGGTGGTTCCTCATCGAGGTCAGTACTGCTGCCTGTCACTAGGCTGAAAGTCAGGCCTTCCTTTGCCATCTGCATGGGCCGGGTTGCACACCGATCAGAGGGCGGGACTACGTGTTCTAGGGCCCACTCGTCGTGGTAAGTAAGCAAGTTTGGTCCACGGCGGGTTGGAGGAAAGAGACGTACGGGAGAGGTGGCTTCCCAACCACGCACGCGGCGTAGTTGAGCCCGCATGGGTGTGGCATGCAAACTATGTTGTGACGGAGAAGGTCGCGTGAGCGGATGCGGGCTGGGCCAGTGGCGATGTTTCATGTTGTGGTCAAACCTGCGGAGGCTGGCCGCGCTGTCGACACGCGAGTCGGCGAGCATGGGCTCTCCAGGAGAAATTGCCCGCAGGTCAAGCGATGTGGCGTATATGTTCTACACGGCGACGGAGAGGGGGGGGCAAAGGAGCGTGAGCTTTGTGGTCGCAGCGCCAAGCCGGGTCCCTGATGGCTATCGCCAACGCAGCCAAGTTGCATGCCCCGCAAAAATATTGGCAGGATTCAGACCAACCAAGGGCATGGGTCGAGAGCGCCGGTGAATGCGGGGACTAGAACGTGGCGATCCACTCAGGGAGCGGGCCAGGTGCCTGTACATCAGTTTTCATGAGAGAGCGAGCGCAAGGGAGGCGAGCTGGTAACGCGCGAGCGACTCAGGTGGACATTGCCCAAAGAGGCCGTGCTGATCGTACCCAAGGCCAACAGGTAAGCCGGGCTGTGGTGAGTTTGCGACAAACCGCCCAGCCGTCGAGGGTCGGGCCTCTGCCAAGATGATGATTGACAAGGCGAAGGGAAGGGTGGCGGGGGAGGTCAAGTGAGAACCGCGGAGCCGTGCAAAGTTGGTCTTGATTGCCCTCGGCCCATGTGGGGCATCCCGCCTGCAAGACAACTCAAAGACGCCGGTCTCCTACCTGACATGGAGCCGCGATGAACATGTCGAGAATACTGCGGGGAATGAGGATGTGAACGAGACAACGCCACGCTGCCCTCTGGCGGTGGCGGTGTAGTTGGTTCCGCCATCGCACAGAGATCAACAAGACGAGAAAAAAGAGAGAGAGAGAATTTGAGCAAAGAGTTTGAGAGTTTTGAGAGAGAGAGAGTTTGAGAGAGAGAGAGAAAGTTTGAGAAAGAGTTTGAGAGAGAGAGAAAGAGAGAGAGAGAGAGAAAGAGAGAGAGAGAGACAGAAGAGTTTGAGAGAGAGAGAGAGAGAGAAAGAGTAAGAGAGAGAGAGAGAGAGAGAGAGAGAGAGAGAGAGAGAGAGAGAGAGAGAGAGAGAGAGAGAGAGAGAGAGAGAGAGAGAGAGAGAGAGAGAGAGAGAGAGAGAGAGAGAAAGTTTGAGAGAGAGTTTGAGAGAAAGTTTGAGAGAGAGTTTGAGAGAGATTGAGAGAGGAAGCAACTGATCTATATACAAAGTGTAACATATGCCATGCTTATAACATACACCAAAGTGTAGCATTTATTAGAGTTACACATCCACTTGCCAGTGATTTTCTCTCTCTCTCTGTCTCACTGTCTCTTTCTTTCTCTCTCTCTCTGTGTGACCTTGGATGATGATGGCGGTGCGACGTGCAGGGGTGGTCGGGGTGTTGGCTGTGGGGCTGGCCGTGTTGATGTTGGTCGGTGGACATGGTGTTGAGGCCGGGGATGTGGTCATCTTGGGCGATGACAATTTCGAGCATGATACGCAGGTGCGGTGTGGTTGGACATGGAATGTGGGCATCGGCTGCTGACGAGGTCGATGAGCTGATGTGGTGCGCTGATGTGGCGCGCTTCTGACGTGGGGTGCGCCTCGCGGTGGTTAGGCCTCGACCGGTATGACCACGGGCTCGTGGTTTGTCAAGTTTTATGCCCCGTGGTGTGGTCACTGCAAGCGCATGGCACGTAAGTTGTTGGATGGGCAACGCGGCTCACGGCAAGCCGTGTGTGCAGCTGCAACGTCACTTTGGCTGTTTGGGCCAAACTGCGCCCGGCAAGCCTCTCACTCCACACTGCACGCTGGGTGGGTATTGTAGCGGCCTGGAGCAAACTTGCTGATCTCGTCGAAGGCTCTTCCGTCAATGTTGCGCAGGTGTGCCTTTGCCCTCCTCGCTGTCCTTGCCGTTTACCCTTCCCGCATGATTCGGCTCGGCTCGGCTCGGCTCGGCTCACTCCCTCACTCCTAACATGGCTGCCGAACAAAAAATTCTACAATTTAGGTGGACTGCACGAAGGAACACGCCACGTGCAATCGCTTTGGCGTTCGCGGTACGCCTTGCTTGCTGAACCGACTTTGGCTCACATCGCAGTCCGTGCTGATCGTCAACGGGCCTTTGTCCTCGCCAATGGTGTTCCAGGCTTCCCCACCCTCTTTTTCTTGCACGATGGCCACATGTACCGCTACCACGTACGAAACAGATGTTGGCTCATGGCCTCTGTGTACACCTATCGTGCCGCAAGCTCTGTCAGACAGCTCATGAGGCGTTGTATGGTGACTGCAGGGTGATCGTGACGCCGAGTCAATGGCAGCCTTTGCCCACGGTGGATACGAGGGCGAGTCTCCATTGGAAATCCCCGGCGAGCCCTCGGCGATTTGGGTACGTCATGCATGGGCCCCGTGGGTTGCTTGGGTCCAGCACCCCCATCCTTGCCCCGCTGACGCAGATTGTTATTCACCTGGTCCGGTCACACGATGCTTGTACAGTCGACTCTTTTGAGTCTGGATGAGCTGGTGGCCAATGTTCACATTGTCAACGATCCCAACCTCAACGCCATCTTCGTGGGCATCATCATCAGCCTGGTTCTACTTCTCCCCATTGGTTTGGTCGTTGGTATCGCCGTGACTTGCTGCGACTCGAGCCCTGCCCAGGCCAAGGCCAAGGCCGAGCCCGCCACAGCAGCCGCTGCGGCAACAAACGGGGTATGTCATTTGCACGAAATTTGCACGAAATGTGTGTGCGAGGCAGTCTATGCCGATGCCTTTGGCCCCTCACTGCAATGCTGTCTTCCTTCGCATAGTCGACTCCAAGCAAGGTGCGCCAGCGCCGTGCGGCTGCCGAGTAGGCGCCGCGTGCACCGCTTTGGGCGCGATCATCTTGTACGCTGACGTGCTTGCGGACAAAAACAGTTTTTCGCGTGGTTCTTGCTCCCTTTTCCTTTTCTTTCTTCCAATCCAACGTGTCAATAAGCTGAAGCTGAAGCTGGAGGTGCCTCCCATCAGACCTCCTGTCAGTGCGAGAGATGGGGGTCAAGAAGCCAGGGTCAAGCAAGAAAACATTTCCTCAATGAAAAATCAACTCTTGAAAACCCACGTAAAGGACATGCTGTCGGTACTGGCCATGCATCTGAGCTCAAAAAGCCGCCGAATGGCCAGCCAGCAACAAAAAGGAACAAACATCTCGATCCAGCCATGTCGTCGTCAACACCCACAGCGGCAGCAAAAGTCGCCGTTCTAGCCGTAAAAAGTCCCAACACCAGCCATAGCTCTTAAAACGCAGTAATAGCAGCGGTATCAGCAGCCGTCATCGCCGCAGCAAACCGCCCCCCGGCCCCCCAGGCTCCCATAGCAGCGAAGCAGTCGGAAGGCGTTGCCGTTCGTCATGTCCCATCTCTCTATGGAAAAACAGCCCGACAAAACCCTCTTCCTTTGGGGTTTCCCTTGGAGTTTCTTTGATTTTTTTAAAATTAAATTTTCATTTTATGACTTTTTTTCTTTGTGTGTGTGTGCGTGTGTGTGCGCGTGCTGATGTGCCTGTAGGGGGCGTCGGAGCTGCTGTTGTTGGGAGTTGGTTGAGGGTGTGACGACCCGTGCATCTCGAACAAGTTCGGGACTGGAGCGCGCTGCTCTTCTCAGGTGTGCTGGGTTGAAGGCGGGTGTACAGCGTGCTGAGGGCTGCCGAATGAATGGATGGGTTGACCGTGGGTGGTGGAGCCATTCATTTTTTTTTGCTCTGCGCGGTGGGGGTCTTGGGTCTTAATACAGATGACGAGGCGCTAGCGCCGAGGGCGACCTCATCAATATGAGCACGTCCAGCAATGCTGACTATGGCCTGGCTTTTGGAGTGACTGCCGGTGCGAGTCCTCTCTTCTTTATGGCGCTTTGGCTGGTGCTTGGTGTTGGGTGCTCGACCACGTCCTTGTGCTCATCTTGCTGGGTTGTCCAGGCTCTGGCATGGCTACGCTACTGGGGTCGGCAGTCGTGTTCTTTCCTAGCTTTTACAAGCCGATCGTGCTGGGCGTGAGCTTGGCCCTGGCCGCTGGTGTCATGATCTACGTGTCTTTTGTCGAAATCTTCTTCAAAGGTGTGCCCAATCTGTGCCTCGTTGTCTCTCTTTTGCAGCACTGTTTGCGCCAGGCCGCTTGTCCAAGCTCCGGGCAACATCCCGTGAGAATTCAAGCATGCCCTCGAATGGATCTCATTTGTATGCGCGTGATTTCCACGTCGGCGGGAAATCGCGAAATCGCGTAGGCTTGGACGAATTTGAGGCCTACTTTGACGATCAGGAGGGTGTAAATCGGAGCCTCGTTTCGGTCGAGGCCTACGAAGCCCCCGCAAAGGCCTATTATACTGCAACAGCCACCTTTTTTGCCGGCGTAGGTCAAATCCCCTTCTCTTTGGTCGTTGCGTTTGCCATATCATCTTCATCCAACGTTGTGGGGGCCCTCGGCAGATCGTCTTGACGTTCCTTCTGGACATCTTCATCCACTGGCTCTATCAATTTCAAGCCGAAGACTCTGCCACAGTGAGTGACAGGGCCAATCAGCATAGTCCCACAGGGGAACAGGATGCTGCTTCATTGCAAGAGACAACAGCTTGCGACCTCGAGCGCGCTGCTACCAGGAATTCCCGGGTATGTCCCGGCACAGGGCCTGGCTCATGTTTCCCACACCGTATTGCGGAGGTATCCGCCGCTGTCAGCGTCTTCTTATTGATTCTTTGTTCTCATGCCGCTGTCAGACACCGAGTTCAAGCACCAGGCGGGGTCGTGCTGCTTCCAACGGGTGCGACACAAACGTGGAAATTGTGGCCAACTATCGGCATGCCGATCACGCGCGCAGCACCCTTTTGGAGCTGCAGCATCGCGAAGAAGACCGTCTGCGACGGCAACCTCACCAGTTCGTCTCTCAACTCTTTGGTCCCTTGTGCTCGTGCCAGCTCGTTTTGGTTTGTTTTCTCGCCGTCGGCACCTGGTTGAGGCGTGGGGTCTCAACACACTTGCACGCTCGCGCGAAACCAGACTGGTCATCGACGTCGACGCGGCCTTGGCGGAGGGAAAGGACTTGGCCTCCGTCTCGGTCCGATCTCTGGACACTAGTCCCGAGCAAGTGTTGATCGAGCGACGGGATTCTGGTGTCAATTTACACGGCTCCCAAGAGATTCAGCAAAACTCGGCCAAAAAACTCGTGTTCATGGCGCTTATCACGGGCACTGCCATAGCCCTTCATAATTTTCCGGAAGGCCTGGCCACCTTTGTCGCTACGGCGCGCGTAGGTCACGGGCGTTTGGCCATGACATCGAGCGCTTTGGACGTGGTGTTGGTTTACCTCACTGGACCATCTTGTTGGCCATGATCCCTAGGATCCGTCGGTGGGAGCTCCCTTGGGCGTTGCCATTGCCATTCATAATATTCCAGAGGGCATTTGCGTAGCGGTGCCCATTTACTTTGCAACCAACAGCAGGTTTGTGATGGAAACGTTTCGCAGCAAAAAAACGTGCGAGATCAAAATCCGGTCTTTGTGAAGGTGCTCATGAGGCGGATGTGCGGCGTAGGCTGCGAGCATTTTTATGGGGCACACTCTCAGGTCTAGCAGAGCCAATTGCTGGGGCGGTGGGTTGGTTGATTCTCGCACAGACGGAAGCTGAGGACCTCAACATTTTGGCTTATGCTATCCTCTTCAGCCTGGTGTCCGGCATGATGGTGTACATCTCCTTCCGCGAACTCATTCCCACGGCCCTGAGCTATGACAGCGAGGGCAAGCACACGGTCCCAGCCCTGTTCTTTGGCATGTGCCTCATGGCAGCTAGCTTGATGCTATTCAAGGGATGAGGACACAGCCTTTCTCTTGTTCTGGCACCTGCCCATCCAAACCCGAAATCGACTGGAAAAATAAAAGCAGTGAAGGCTCGCGGGCTTGAATTATTCGCTCTGTGTTTTGACGCTGCACGAGAGGAGGATCGGCTCTTGCCTACTGCCGGATGTTGATGGTAAAATTGTCCAAGTGACGAAGGGACTGTGGGGTAGGGATGCCATTCTTGAGCACAAACTGTAGAGGCGACCAATACCTTGCGGCAACAGCAATCGCAGTCCAGGGACAGGCGTGAGGGCGGGACGAGCCAACAAGGCCTTGGTCCATGGTGAGTCGCTACATACTGAATGTCGTGGTCTTTGATACCGTCAGGGGCACTTTGCCAGCGGTCTCCCGTCCACATCCACCCGTAGATGGTCCGATTCAAGTCGCTACGAGAGAGGCGGAATGTAATGGAAGCCATGGCAGCGATGAGGGGAGGGCGGCAGAGGTGAGACACCACAGGGAGTGTCGGATGGCGCCTTCGCACGAGTCTCTCAAGGGAAAGATGAAATTTTGCTGAGCCTGGGTCACAGCGGTGCACGGGGCATCCGGGCTGCTGAGCGGGTGCCAGGGTGATGCCGATTTCTCCTGGCAGCCAATGTCTCCCAGCGCTTGCCAAGGCCCCATGGGATGTGGCGCGGCGTATGTGCCTACGTGATTAGCGCAAGCGTGGTATCTTTAGGGCAGTGGGTGCAGCGGGCCGCCCGTTGATCACTTTGATGCGAAGCTACTCAATGTGCAAGGGTAGGAAAACGGTGAGATGTGCCTTGCGCCCGTTAATGATGCCCGTACCAATGTCGCTGCCTTGTCCACAGAAGCAGCAGCACTGGCCAAAAAAGGCCAGGTAAGTTCCATTGACTTTGATCATGGCAGGCGCTTCAACAAAAGTCGCGCCAAAGAAGCCCGAGTTTTGCATTGTCGAGGCAAGGAAGCTGGATTCGAGTCGCTCAACGCTCATCAAGTGGCCCTGAAGCGGGCATTCGCGCCAAGCGAGAGGGTAAGATCACTTCCCGTTGAAGAGGCAAAGGCAAGCGGATTGACGTACGGCTGTGATGGCGGTATAGATGATGTAGCCTTGGTCATCATCGTCGACAAAGATGTCAAAATCGCCGGGCGCGTCTTGGGCCAGGGCGACGTGAGTGGCTTGGACGACAAACGGGCCCGTGCGGACGGTACTCGTGGCGACTACGTAGTATGACGCGGAGAAATTGCCTAGGTCACGCCGCAAGCCCAGTGCATGCATGTGAGGGCGAGAGAGCGAGACAAGGCTGGGTACCGGCGAGGCACTTTGGGTTAAAGATCATCGGGGCATACCGGCGGGGACGGCATTGATCCAGAGGACATAGCGCGACGTGGTGGGGTTAAACACGATTTTGGGCCTGGCGGGATCACGGATGTCAAAAACAAGCTGATTATTCGCGACAAAACAAGCAAATGGCAAGCGCGCACCGGTAGTAGATGGCTTCAGGTCGAGCGTCAACGGGCAGCATATCCCCGGCATAGGTCCAGCTGCCGTTGCTGAGATCGGGGGATGTGTAGAGGCTCACGTTGTGGTTGGTGTTGAACCCGCAGTTTGGATCGCTCCCGCCATGGCTGCAGCCATTGTTGCCCGGCGCCTCCTGTGATGTGTTCAGATGGCTGAGAGACAGACTCCAAGCTGCAGGTCCCCAGGCACAGCATGCGGCCAGTGGCGTACCGAGCACAGACCGTACTGCATCCCATACCAATAGTACAAGCCTCCGCGATCCCACTGAACAATGGTCCCATCACTGCCGTTGCGCGATCATGAGGCCAGCACACCGCCAAAAGTAGGCCCGGAGGGGGGCACGGGACAACTCACTGCACGGGCAAGATCTGGCCATCGACATCAACGCGGGGGCTTGTATTGGAGATGAAGACCGGCTTACTAGCACCGCTACCAGCAGCAGCCGAGGCCAGGACACCGACGGCCACCAGCAGGAGCTTTGCGATCCCACACATTGTTGTTGTTGTTGTTCTGATTTCAAAAATTTGAATCTTTTTCTCTTTTTTCTCGCTCAAACGCCCCCTTCTCATGTTTATCATAATCAGTTCTCAGCTATAACTATGGGGGCCAGCTTGATAGAAGCAGGTGGGCGTGGAGTAGCCAGGAATGATGTTTCGCGAGTCCCAAGGATGGCAAGTCAATTTGCAGTGAGGTAAGGGCTGAAATCACTCCAGCCATTTGCGCAAAGCAAGGCGAAATACCGAAAGTCCCAAGAGAAAAAGGAAGACACAGGCGGAGGGCGAGACACGCGCAACGGGGCTGTACAAGTGCAAAACGTGGGTGGCTCAGGGGCATGTGTGACCTTGAGGCTCAACACACACGTTCACGCACACACAGCCATGATGCTCATCTTCGACCACCAAATACACGACAAAGCAGGTATCAATCAAAAGTGACACTGCAATCCAACCAGGCAACAGACAAGTATAGCTGGAAAGAAGGCTTAGCCTTTGCCCAACGCCAAGGCTAGTGCGCAAGGTGGCAACTTGCGCACAACCAAGAGATTTTCAGCATGGCTTGCGCCACGCGTCACAAGGGCGCTTGACAAGGACGAACAGGCTTCACTGCCCCAGCTTCCAAGTCCTGTGCGAGGTAAAGTCGGCTCCTAAGAGGCCGGCCATTGAGCAATGCAATGGAGAAAAAAAAAAAAGAGATCAAACGGGAAGAAAGAGCGACAGAAGCAGCAAACAAGCGCGATCAAGAGCTCAAATTCATCAAGGAGTTGGTGCCCTAGGGTGGAGAGCTTCAGTGCAGGTCGGCGCTCACAGAGTGTCAACCACTACCTCGCAAGAGGCAGGCAGGTTGACACGTCGAGCTGCTCGGCCAGACCAACGCATCTCCCTCCTAGATCCAGGCTACACACACAAAGGTGGCGGCCCGAGAAGGCACGAGAATCGAAATTCATCAAACAACATGGGGTTTCAAACAGGCATGGCACTGGGACACGACACGCAACAGCAGAGAGAACGCGAGTTGATCACATTGTGTATCATCAACGATTGCATCCACCCAGCCGGCACTGCCGCTCGCGTCAAGACTGAAAACACCCACACATACAGCACCTGCATCAGACGGGGCACAGGCAAGATACAAAGAAAGACAAACACCACGACGAGACCCCTCTCCCTCTATCGCAAAGAAAGACCTGCCACGGTCCTTGCAGAGGGGCAGAAAAACAGCACATTGGGCAAAGCCCAAGTGAACGGCAACACGCGGCAGAGAGGAGGCATACAATCACCTCCCTCGAGCCGAGTAAACTCAGCCCAGCAGCCAAACCAGCTGCTCGTAGGACACGCAAAAAAGCAAAGAAAAAAAAAAAGAAGAAAAGAAGTAGCACAAAAAGAGGGAATTGTAAATGGCAGCTTGCAGAGCAAAATGCTTCAGGCCAACGCCATGGCAAAGGGCCCTGGCGCCCAGCTCTCCATAAGGGTGCGCACGGCGCGACGAAGAACTGGCGGCAAGAAACGACACTCAAGGCGCTCCACAGCGGGGAGCTTAGGCCGTGGCAATGTGCTCGAGTGGTGCACCCTCGACGCTGGCGACGAGGGGCAGCTTGTCCTCAGAGCGGTGCATGGCCTTGATGACGGCCACGCCAGCCACCAAGACAGTAGCCACGGCCACACCGGCGATAGCAAGTGCCATCGAGAACTGATGGGAGCTGTCGTCGGTGGTCTGTGTCTCCTGGTCCTGGACGGCCTCGCCCTCCTCGAGAAGGCGGCGGCGGCGGTCCTGGGACGGATCAACGCACGAGCAGTGCTTGCAACCCTCATCGTCGTAGAAAGTGCGTGACTCCATGCCTGGCTTACAGAAGCAGGGGCGGAATTCAGGGCACTGGTCAGAGCCCGATCCTGACCCCGAGGCGGCTGAAGTGGTGGTGGTCTCGCGGGCGGCTGAAGTGGTGGTGGTCTCGCGGGCCGCAGTGGTGGTGGTAGTCGAGACGGGAGCCGCAGTGGTGGTACTGGGCAGTTCCGAAGCCACGCACGAGCATGCCTGGCAACCAAACGCATCGATAAACTCGACCATCTCTGAACCAGGCTTGCAGTTGCACTGGCGGTACTCGCCGCAGCGGTCCTCGGTGGTGGTCACACGGGGCTGAGTGGTGGTGGTGGTAGTGGTGGGAGCACGAGTGGTGGTGGTCGTGACGGGAGCACGAGTGGTGGTGGTAGTGACGGGGGCACGAGTGGTGGTGGTGGTCGTCGCGGGGGCACGAGCAGTGGTGGTGGTGGTGGTGGGAGCACGAGTAGTAGTGGTGGTGGTGGTGGTCGTGACGGGTGCGCGAGTGGTGGTGGTAAAGGAGGGACGGCCAATGGGCAGAAGAGGCTGCTGGAAGTTGGAAAAGTCGGGGCTCAGCTTCATGGGACGCGGGGGGCGCTTGGGAAGGAGGCGGCGGTTGCCCTCGCAGATGCTCTGACCCAAGTGGCAAACCACCACGTTGTTGTCATCACTGAAAAATTGAGGGAAGCGCTCTGCACGAGGCACGGGCAGGCCGTTGCTGATGTACAAGCTGGCCTTGTTGTAGCGACCGTTGGGCAGGGCCTCGGGCTCAGGGCAGGTGGCCTTGGCATCGATAACCTCGCATCCAGGCGCAAAGGTCTGGCACACGTTATCAGTGGTGCAGACGACACCCTCGCACGGCTCTGCACGGTAAAATCAAGACGATTAGCAGGGCGGTGAGAATCGAGACACAAACACGGATGGGTGGGTATGTGGCGAGAAAGCGTGGGGAGGCGCGCACGCTCTTCTTTTTTTCGTCTTTTGATTGACTTTCTGATCTTCTTGTATCTTCTGTGGGAGCACACGCATCGCGGCAGAAAAACGCACCTTGGCTCTCGAGAACCTCAACGTTGAAGGAGCAAGTGTACTCGGTGCCTTCAATAACGTCAGTGGCTGTGTACTCGACTTCCGTGACGCCAACGGCAAACATGTCGCCAGGCTGGTGGGTAGAGCTGATTGTGAAGTAAAAGTTCTCGTGGGTGTCGACCTCGGGCTCAACCCAGCTGGCAACCTGAGCCTGGCCCTCTGTGGCGCGGGTCGGGGTGACGCGGACTGTGGCAGGGCAAGTGAAGCTACCGCCACGGCACACGCCAGCCGAGCAAACATCGTTGAAGGTGCTAGAGAGGCCGTCATTGCAAGGGGTGTAGTCGGCCTTGGGACGAGGCTCCATGCATTGCCCGGCCACACACTCGGCATCTTCGTAGCAGCTGTTGGGGGCACGCGGGCACTCAATGGTACGGCACAGGAGGCTGTCGGCAGTATGGGGGTTGGGGGGTAGAGACATGACGCGTGGAGGGCGCTGTGGCAGGAGGTTGCACGACACCGTGTCGCTAAAAACAACGCGCGGAGTGGCCGCGGCGGCCACGACCAGCAGCGCCAGTAGGCGCAGCGAGTGCATCATGGTGGAGGTTCAATCAGCAGCGAAGCTCGAGCTCGCGGATGTGACTGCCGGTTTGGAGAATATGGCCGACGCAACTCAGAGGGGGTAGAAAGCGAGGCAACGATCGATGTTAGAAGGACGAGAGGCGACACAGACCACTATCGCTAGCGGATAGGGTCAGAAATAAACTGCAGCCTCGGCCCACCTCCAGACAGCATGCCCGTGGGAGGGCGTACGCTCAGGCAGCCACTCTTGTACGTGTGGGGAGAGGGTCGCTGTTCTTGCATGCGTGAGGGCGAGGGCAAGCCTACGCCATCGATTGGATCCGGCCGAGTGCGTAAAGTCTTGGGCCTGCATCGTGGGCTGTTGTGACCGAAAACGGGCAAAGCTTGCTGCCGATGGCGAAGCGTCGTCGGGGCGCGGGGGGCGGTTGCTGTGAAGCAGCGCATTGCCTCGACTGGGGTTGCCCCGAGGATGGTCATTACAACTGTTTGTCCACCAACTTTGAGCCTCAAGCATGTGCATGCCCGGGGCCCGAGTCGTGCCAGGCGCCCAGGTCACCTGTCTTTGTTGCCGGGTGACACCTTCCCCCGTGGCCTGTGGCACCTCGACACCGCAACACGAGCGAGAAATGTGTGTGACAGCACAAGCAAAAGTAAATGAGCAAGCAAGCAAGCAAGCAAGCAAGCAAAGCAACTGTTGCATAGGAACTACAAAGAGGAAAATTTATTTGTTTCTCACTGAATTCGTTTTTTAAGCACTGCGCCATGATAGATTTACGGGACCTTTGATTCGATCGATTGAGGCTGCATGCCATGGTCGAAATAGGCGGCAGGACCTTTGATTCACATGTCAATCGAGTGCTGTGATCGATTTAGGCTTGGACGGGCGCGCCAAAGCATCACCCACCACACAATGTGCACAGCGGCAGGGAGGTGCACAAGAAAAATCTTAGGAGATGGTGCACGACCAACCGCTATTCTCGGTAGGCGGGTTGGCAGACCGGGCTGCCACGGCCTCGGCAGCGTCACCGAACAAGCGCTTCTCCACTTCTTTTGTGGTTGGGGGCTGCTGGCCGGTTTGCAGAGCTTGACGTGCATCCTCGGCGATCTTTGCCACTTCATCATCAAACTGCAGGCCGGCCTTGTACTTGGGACCCTTGTCATCGGGCAGGGCGTTGAACCGATGAATGAAGAGCAGGTTGAGCCAGCGCAGAATCACCTGCTCCTGCTTTTCTTGCGAAATAATGTGCGAGTGGATCTTGGCCGCCTGCACAGCAGAGCAAAACATGGGTGAGGAGGCGCGGCAATCTGTTGTTGCTGAGCATTGCAACCGATGGATAGGGCATGTGCCAACCTTGAAGCTCTCCACCACGTCGTCGTAAGCGCCAAACTCCAGAATCTGAATGGAGACCCAGGTGAAAGCGTGAGAGGGACATCTTATCTTTGAGAGGATGCACGGCGACATTTACCTGGTGTTGGTTGCTGTACTGCTTGTTGTAGTAATCAAAAAACACCTGGTTGGGTCATGTCGCGCAAAGGGTTGCGTGAGCCATGAACGCAACCTCAGAAGCTGCCGACAACCAAAGCAAAACGCAAGGGTACTGCTGAGGCGCTCTTCTTACGCAGTCAAGGAAAAGGCCCAGGCCAGGAATCTTGGGAACATCCACCTGTATTATTCCGAGTCAAGTATTTCAGATCAGCAGGCGGCGATGAGACAAAAAAAAAAAGGAGAATTAAAAAAAAAAAAAAAAAAAAAAAAAAAAAAAAGATGACCCCTGAACCGGGATTGATCGAGGCGAGCATTTGAATGCGAGTCATCAGGCAGGAACATACTCGCTCGTCGCTGAAGCATCGATCCATGTAGTCATCCTTGACGTGACCACGCACAATGGCCACGGCCAAACCTGTCAGCAGCAGCCCGCACAGGTTGTCAGAGCCCCTTTGCATCTAGGGCACTCGGATGCTGGCAAGGCTACTTACCAATCATCTTGCGGATTTGGTGAAGAATGAAGGATTGGCCTTTGACTTGAATGCGTACCCACTCGATGCCTTCGCGCTCAAATGGCTCGCTCACCTGCCAAAGGGACGGCAATGGTCGAGTATGAACGTGGAATTCAAGGTGAATGGGAAGGGTGGCACAGAGCAGACGTGGACTGAAGGGCAGACGCCTTGCACACACGCACAGTAAAGTCGGTGATGTAGCGGCGACACGAGTCATCGCTGGCAGATTTCTAAGCCAGCGATGAATCAAGGTGAGCAAGACGATGCACGGGCATACAAGTGCGGCGATGTGGGCAGGACATACGCCGGCGGTGAAATTGTGAAATTTGTGGGTGCCGATGTAACGCTTCAAAGTCTCACGAAACCAGGTGAGCTTGGGCTCATCGACACGATACTCCGGTACAGGCACCTGGGCAAAGGGGAGATGGTCTGGTGAGCACGAGGCTCCTATACAAAGAAGCCTGGGCACAGCGCACAGCGCGCAGCGCGCAGAGGGCAGGTACGTGCCGCACCTTCTCCTTGGGCATGAGCGCATAGGTAGGCAGCAGGTACTCGTATCGGCGGCCAGTGCACTGCGAGATAGCCGGTGGTGGGGAGGATGTTAGTCAGCGAGAAACCCGGGAGGCGGGCGAAGAGCAAGCAATCAACGCACGGCATTCTTGGGATTGAACCCCTTGGTGGTACGGAACGCCCCAAAGATGCTGCAAGTCATCAAAGGGGGTAACAAAGTTGAGCAGAAGCAGCGCGATACTGGGGCACACGGGCGTGTGGCGTGGCGGGGGCAACGGACCGAATATCGTCCGGGAGCTTGGCATTCAGCTCATCCACCGTGTTCTCCGTCAAGATCATGCGCATGGCCACAACCTATGCGCCGTCAAAGGGGCAGTGTGCAGGAGTGAGCGTGATTAAGCCCCAGGGTAAGAGCAGGCGGCACCTGTAGACCCATGGGTAGGGCGAGCCTTGTGTACCTGACGCGCGGCGTGCACACCCTTATCCGTGCGCGCGCAACGCTGAAAGTGCATGCTTTGTGGGGTCTCATAGTTATTTTTGTCAATGCAGCCGGTCTGAAACGGAGGAAATGCGTGTGAGCTGGGCCAGAATCATGTGCGGGTTCGGGCATTGAACCACAAACACCAAGAGTCCAATACAGGAAGCTTTCTGAAGGGAACAAGGGGGCAGACAAAAGGGAAAGCAGACGGAGGATGGGAGAAGCGGATGGGGTGTGGAGACCAACCACGAGGAGAGCTCGCAACAGGGTGCTTTCGATGGTTTCAAAGCCAATGTTGCGTTGCATGCCGGCGTAGCTTGTGCCCTGAAAGCCTGAGAGCGTGTGTATCGGTGAGCACTTGGCCAAGCAGTGGGAACGGGAACCCAGTGTCAAGATGTGTGACCAACCCATGAGCAAGGCATATTTCTTGGGCCGCGGGCGGCCATCATCCTCGGGCTTGGGTCGCTTGCCAGCCTGATCACCAGCGGTGTCAGCTTGCGCACCACGTTTGGCCGACATGATCGTCTGTTCAGCAGCCCACTTTAACAGGGAGGGTGAAAGGGATGGACCAGGGTGCGTTTGAATCCGTTGAAGCAGATGCTGCTCCAACACGGCCTTCAGCTGTGCGTCTTGATACTGCTCTTCTGCCGCCCGAGTCTGCGTCTGAACGCGGGTCGAGATGGAGCGGGAAGGAGCAGACGGGGGTGCCCAGTTCTGAATCCAACCCGTGGTTGCCACTGCCAATCCAGTCACACGAGGTTCCAATCGCACGCCACCAGTCGCGCGCCCCTTCAAACCTAACCCAAATCCACCACTGCCGCCGCTCAGACGACCCCAAAGTCGACCCAACGCCGCCAGCTTTCCTCGTCCGCCCGTCAGCGCCACGCCCTCTTGTGATCTGCGCGCGCGCGTGTGTGTGGAACTGAAAGAGAGAGAGACCACATGCGGGCAGCCACAAAATGATGACATTAATATCTGACATAGATTCTGATATCTGACATCGGGCATGATGACATTTCCATGCTTTGTTGTTGTTGTTGTTGTTACGTGTGTGTGTGTGTGTGTGCACAATTTTAAAGAGAAGAGACACACACACACACACACACACACACACACACACACACTTACACACACATTTACACACACACAAACGGCAGCCAACCATTGCTGTCTTGCGGGTTTTGCGTGAACTGAACTGGACGTACACACTTGAGGGGGCGGGCAGGATTTGCAAAGCACGCTTTGCAAAGTTGACTGTGAACCTCGAGGGCAGAGAACAGTGTGGGGGTTGTGAGGAGAAGGAGCTGTTGATATGTTGACGAGAGCGTCGGCGTCCTTTCGAGGACGGGTGCATGGTCAGAAGGATCTGCACATGGTGAGCCTTTGCGCCGCTTCGTCTCTCTGCCGCGTGTGTCCACCTGTGCGGCAAGGTCACGGTCTGGGGTGTGTGTTGTGTGTGTGCGGCACAGGCTGTGGCTCATGAGAAATCGGCCAAGGACCACGCCAAGGGTTTGGCCAGCTCACACCGCGAGGCCTTGGAGACATACTACACTTGGGCCGCCAGTCGGAGTGATGAAGGTACGATCTCCCTCTCCCTGGTCACTCGCACTGGCTCGCTGGCGATTGTGCTTCTGTGTCACCTTTCTAAGCCTGAGATATGGGACGAATCGATCTTGGCAGGTTTGACGGCCGTGCTACAGTCTTTGGTGCTCTTGGAGCGCGAGTGGGAAAAGAGTCAGGGCCGCCATGCCCGCGCGCTCAAGGCCAAAAAAGAGGCATCCTCGTTGATCCTTGGTGTGGAGCCATTTCCGTTGGGTCGTGCTTTGAGCGACAGAGCGCTCTGGGATCCCTCACCGCGGCTACCTGGCTCATGCGTCTGTTAGCCTCGGAGCGGCGTATCACTGAACTACAAAAGGCCGTTGACAAGGCGCGACGCCAAGAGCTGCAGGCTAGCCGAGTAAGTTTGCCCAAGCAATGCACTGTCAAGCGGCCGCTCAGATGTTGTGTTGTTCAAGGCGTCAAATAATTTTTGACGACAGGGCACTGAGCGGCATGCTTCTGAAGATCTCCTCCTCGCTACCTCATGCCATGTCACAACAACAACAACGCACAGGAGGCGGCCAAAGCTTTGGGCCGTACACCGCAACAGCAGGAAAGGGCAGATGCCAAGCTACGCCAGGTGAGTTGATGCCAACTCCCTCTTCGGTACGGGTTGGCGACCTCATGTCACGGTCCGCGATGCCCGCTAGGCCACTCAGCAGCGGGATGGGGCCGAGGCCACACACCAGAGCGCTGTCATTGCGGGTGCTCGAACGAATCGCAGCGCGCTCCGAGCCACGTGGCTCGAGTATTACCAACACGTGGCTCGCATGCATGAAGAGGGTGCTCTTGTGGCCCGGCACTGTGCTGTACGTGTCTCATAGCAGCTTTGGTTAACTGTGTGAAGTGTGGGTGTTTCTCTTCTCTCATCTTCTCACCTCTGCTTACAATCGTGTGCGGCCTGGCATGGGCACGGACAGGAGATTGTGGCCACATTACCGGACAGCGTGGACGATGGATATGATGATCATCTGCGCGAGCTGAACGAGCACATATTTAATAACACCCTGACCCTGCTACATAAGATTCAGGTGAGTCAGCTTTGCGCTTGTGCCCGCCGGACGACCACGTTGCATGATTGGGTGGGCAGAAGAGTGAGGGTATGATGGGCCCGGCTATGCGCGCGTACCTCGTCTCATGAGAGTGCTGACGCGTTGGGCACGCACGCGCACGTCGTTGCAGGCCCTGCCGATCAATGCACCACCCCCACCCTACGAATGTTAACGTGTTAATGGAATAGGATGGACCTTGGTATGAAGGGCAACCTTGGTGATTTTGTTTGTGTGACATAACGTGCCACCCGATTCTCGACCCTCTCAATCCACAACACGTACAGTCACCCTCTCGTGCGTCCAGTGCGCCGCAGTCCTTCCCAATCTGCTTCTGCATCTGAAAGCCCGATCAGACACGGAAAGAGAGAGAGAGAGTGTGTGTGTGTGTGTGAGAGTGCAAGAGAGAGAGTTTTTGAAATAAAAATGTCAGCACGAAATAAACTGCGGACCATGTTTGAGAGAGAGACGAAGAGAGAGAGAGAGAATTCAAAGAGAGAGAGAGCGAGAGAACAGGATGGGGATTTCAAATGCGCCCGCACACTCCTCGGGTCTGGGTCTGTGCGGCGAGCTGGCGCCTTCTAGGCTTGTGGAATCGGGAACGTTGAGGGCGTTGATTAACCATGGGGCTGTGATCCTCTTCACCCGTCTGTATCTGTCATCTGCATTCCACCTTATCATCAAGGCGCAAGCGTAAGCTTTTCGCTCGCGCCTGCAAGATGTCACCCCAACGACCGGGGGAATGACATCCGTGGACAAGCACAACGATCAACCCAGCTCGTGCGTGGGTCTCCCCTCAAGGGGCCTTCTTTCAAACCTCAGCAGCACGGTACATGTATATCACCCGGGATCAACGACTGACACAGTCGCAAGCAGGTCACGCACCTGATTCCAATCGTCCTTCTCTTTTGGCCCAAAGCCCAAGCGTGATGATGGGGGAGTGATCACCACATGCACGCCAGGCCCGTGTCGGTCTAAGCCAGGCCAGTGGCGTTGCTTAAGATGAGGATAACACAATCCTCTCCTGCTCATGCATGCGCGAGCGAGGTCCAAGAAGGCTTGTGCATTGATTCCATTGCACGCGCACTGCTGCTCCAAGCCACCCTTCCGGCACTTGCTCCCAGATCCAAGTGGGCAAGGCTCAGTCACGGTCGCCCGCGATTCATACACACGACCCTGCTCGGCTGCCGAGTAGCATTTTTCACATTACCTGCTTCAGCATCACCAGCTACATCAGTACATCAACGGGCCATCGACTGCACACGACTTGAGCGAATCTGCACACCTTGTTTGCTTCTTCCACCAACCTTCATCATGTTCTCCAAGACTTCAGCCGCCCTCAAGGGCGAAGTCTCTGGTCACAAGAACCTCCGTGTCGTATGTCCCAATCATGCTATCTCTTCACTTGGCACATTCCACACCACTCCTGTGCGCTATTCTCACCCCTTGCGGTGGCCCGACTTGATCGCGTCCTCAGGCTGTGGCACAGGAGAAGGCCAGTAAGGATCACGTCAAGGGTTTGATGGAGTCTGACATGGACGCACATGAGCTGTACAGCTACTGGGCCGACGATCATGGCGATGAGGGCATCGCTTCCGTGGCCAAATCCCTTCTTGTTTTGGAAAAGGAGTGGCACCAGTGCCAGGGCATGCTCGTCACGGCCCTCCGCAACAAGAAGGAATTCACCAACCGCCTGCTCGGTATGCTGCCTGGGACCTCTTTCGCCTTGACAATACCTTGCTTGGTTGTGCTCGAGCCCGCTCCTTCAGCCCCCAAGCTCTCACGTGCGTCATGTGCTCTCACGTGCCTTATGTTTGGGATGTATGCTCGGGATGTGCGCAGCGGCTGAGAAGAACGTGTCCGATCTGCACAAGGCGTTTGTCAAGGCCGAGAAGAACGAGCAACACGCTGAGAAGGAGCTCGAGAAGGCTCGCGGCAAGGATCCGTCCAAGACCACAAAGGCTGAGGCCAAGTTCAGTGACGCGCAGCGCCAGAAGGAGGAGGCCGAGCAGGCCTATGCCAATGCGCGCGACAAGGAGCTCAAGGAGTGCCGCCGCGATCTGCGCAAGGCCTGGCTCGAATATTACCGCATCAAGGCCCGCGTCTACGAAGAAGGCGCAGCGGCTGCTCGCGAGTGCGCGGTACGTGACGAATTGGCGCTGGACGTGGCCCTTTTCTTGTACTGCAGTGTCAACCGTGCTTGACTCGTCTCGCATCTCTCATCTGCCCTGTCCTCTTATACTCTTTTTCTTTCTCCCTTGCACAAACACAGGAGATTGCGGAGCTCCTTCCCGAGGATGTGGATGAGGGCTTCAACGACACGCTCAAGAAGGAGAGTGAGCAAATCGCCGATGAGACGCGTGCCAAACTCGAAAAGATGCGCGTGAGTCATGCCCACGTTGCCCCTCTCCCCACAGTCTTGTCATTGCCTTGTGTGCTTGGAACCGTTGGCGCATCACCATCGCTCACCTGCCTTTTCCATGTGCATGGCTGGCTTTCATGCAGCACGAGGATGAAATGCACATCTCCATCACCCCGCAGCACGTGCACCAGCAGGCGTAATCGGAGAGCCAACGTGAATGGTGCCCCAGTCAAGCCTTGGCGCTGTGCGCAAGCCCCACCATCGTATTCCGTACCATATTACCATGTCCATACTTGCTGTCCGCCGCTGCAGCGCCCCGTCACGGCCATACGCCTCGCGTGACTTCGATGGTTTCTGTCGAATCGAAATATTTATTCTTATCTTCCAGAGTCGATAGCCGGAGTCATAGCCGGAGGAGAATCAAGAGTTGTTTGACTTGGTCCCATGATAGTTCAGCAGAGCACAGAGCACAGAGCACAGAAAAGAAGGGCTGAAATCAATTTGATTTCTCCTGCAAAAGGTAGAGTTACCATACCACTTAGATGTTGAAGTGCTTGATGGCGCTCTTCATGCCGGCGGCCACAGATTGGCCATCCGTGTAGTAATACTAACAACAAGAGAGAATGGTGAGGAGGCCAAGAAAAGAAAAAAATAAAAAAACTCGGGGAGCGCGGGTCAGCGTCGAGCGCTAATGACATCGGTGGTGCTGTGAGCTGATCGGCTTTGCATTGCACCCACCTTGTACTTGGGCGAACCGGCACTGTTGTAGATCGAGTCAACCACCTCTCCCTGTGCGTCTATTGAAACCAAGCGGGCAACGAGTTTGTGTGAGTGGATGGCTGGTGACGGATTGCTGATGAAGGACAGTGATTGGAAACACGGGTGCGTGGCAGTCATGGGCGTCAATACCGGTGAAGATGATACGAGGGATGTAGCCACCGTCTGGGCGGAAGGCGGCGTCGTCGGGCTCCTCATTGTCCTCGAGGTTGACCATGACAAACTTTTCGCTCAGCTCGGCCACTTCGTCGTTGGCCGCAAACTTGGGGCGCAGGGCTAACGGAGAGGTAGGGGTGGGGAAAGCAGCCAAGCAGGGACGATCAGGCGATGAATGGGGCGTTGTCTCCTCTTCTTCTGAGCCACGTCACAACCAGTTGATCAGGACGGGACGGGACGGAACGGAACAGAAGCGGCGACTGACCCTTGCAGGCGCCACACCAGCTCTTGTGGATGATGACCATCATGGGTTTACCCGTCTCCAAGGCCTCCGCGCGGCCCGCATCGAGCGAGCGCCAGGCGATGCCATCACCCCAACCTAAATTGAAAACACCCCCCGGCCTGCCAGTGAGCAACGCGGTGCAAGATGTATCGCAGAAAAGCAAAACAATAACAAAGACAAAATACAAAAGACGACGACGACAACAACAACAAATCGCACAGTCCCAGATGCGTACCGCGTGCCAGATCATTGGCCATGGCCGAGGGCACAGCGATCATAGCCACCAGGGCCACCAGAGCCACTGCCATTGTCGTGGTCGTCATTCTTGCCGTCGAGGGGGGGTCTCAAGTCCTCGTCACTGCTGTCGTCAACAATACAAAAATGCTGACAAGTGCGAGTCTCCCACGAGATGAAGAGACCACGCGTGTTCAACCACAATAAAAGTATTTCGAAGACTCTTTCCCTCGTATCCATCGCTACATCGTTATGTTTATAAAGTATAATATTATTATAACATGGTACATCAAACGTAACACACACACACACACACACGAGAGTTCACGTGGTCGTGTGTGTGTGAGTGTGAGAGAGAGAGATTTTTCTTTTGCGGCGACACCGAGTGGGGCGACGGGGCGGGATTTGGTCGTCGATAAGAGTCTGGTTGCGGACGGATAGGGGTGGGGATTTATTAGCGTGGTGGTCGTTGAGCGTGCGAGTGGAGGTCGGGTGTAGGGACCAAGTCCCATCGAGACCGACGAGATGGGTGCCAAGACAAAGAAGAGCACCATCAAGTTTCAAAAGAACCGCCTCAAGGATGTCATCGGCGACCGGCGGCGTAACCAGCAGAAGCGTGCCTACAATGCCAAGGTCAACCAGGATCGCAAGGAGAAACATCTTGGTAAGTCGGCTCTGCTTGTGCTTGCCGCCTTTGCAAAGTCACGTCTCGGGCCCTCCCGAAACCGCAGCTCACACGCAGCGAGACCTCGCCTGCTTGTGCTAGAACGCCGCGCCGAGCGGACGCAAGGTGGTCCACGTCCTCAGGCTGGTCGTGGATTGACGGATGCCCGGTAGGTTGATTGTGGCCCGACACTTGCCCTGCACCTCGCTCCTGTGCACCATCTTTTCGGCTCGGTTTCGCCGGTTGCACACACCTACCGCAAGCATGTGTCGTTGTGGAGTGCGCATGTCGGTTGCGCACGCAGTCATGGCTGCGTCGTTTGGTTTGGATCATGCTAGGCCTTTGGCTGACATGGACTTTTCCCAGTTTATGGAGAGCGGCTTGGAAGACCTCTTGGAGGAGCGCACCTCGTCATCTGGCCAGCAGGACCAGGAGTTTGAAATGGCTGATGACCACAGCGATGCTGGTAGCCAAGGCTCTGGTGAGAGCCAGGACGAGCTCTCTGCCAACGAGGATAGCGACGACGACAATGAACAGGCCGATGCCAATGAGGATTCGGATGACGAGGAGGACGAGGAGGCCAATGATCGGGCCTTGGCCGCACTCGACCGGGCCGGCGAAGACGACGAAGAAGAGGCTGATGACGACACGGCCGATGGTGCCGATGACGATGACGAAGAGGGGGAGGATGCAGATGATGCTGGCTTGGATAAGCTTGAGGATGAGGTCAAGCAGCACCGGGCGCAACTGCAGCGCCTCAAAGAGACGCAGCCCGAGTTTTTTGACTTTTTGGACAGCGAAGATCAAAACCTCCTCAATTTTGGTGAGGACGACGATGAAGACGATGAAGAGGCGATGGATGATGAGGCTGAGCCTCTGGATGATAGCGACGAGGAGGGCTCATCCTCGAAAAAGTCCAAGTCCGGGCGCTCACTTGCGGACCGCGAAACCCTCACGGTCAAGAAAATCCGTGCCTGGGGCAAGCTCTTGAAAACGGTGCGTAACCTATTACGTTGACAGACAAACAGATGAGCAAAGCAAAACCAAAACACAAGCAGAGCAAAACCATGTTTGTGCGCACGCGCATGTGTGGCGATGTGCGACTTGGGGTGCGCAGAGTGATATGATACACACGGCAAACTCATGTTGTCAACCATCATTCGGATGCCGTGCCTAGAAACCCGCTGGAGCCCTGAAGCACGTGATTCAAGGCTTCCTTGCAGCTGCGTATGGCTTTGAGGCCGACAACGCCGACGCCGACACGAAGGGTCCCCCTGTCACTCTCCGTTACACCATCAGCTCGAGCCGCGGTGGGTTTCGGCTGGCCCCTTTTTTGTTTGCGTTATCTGCTGCACTCCTCGCCTATCTCTTGCGCTGAGGTCATGGCTTGCCATTCGTTGCCTCTTCGCTTATGTTTTCGATCGTTCTCTTCTGGTAGCCTACAGCGAAATGGTCCAGCTTGCGCTCGCTGAGGTCCCGCGCATGCTCGATCGCCTCCTGCCCGCCAAGGGCAAAGCCCAACAGTACGTGGTGCCCCGACTCTTCATGTCTACTCCGACTACCCAAAACCCCGCCAGCTAATCATACCTTTCGATAATGCTCTGCTTCCTTTTTGACTCTTGTACAGCCGTGTGCCGGCGCAGCGCAAGAACTGGCGCCTCGTCAGATCACATGTCAAGTACTTTTGCCAAGGCATTCTGCACTTGTTGCCTCAGTCGCAAGACCATGCCGCTCTCGGCGCCATTCTCCAGATGCTGGTGCCCTTCATGCACTACATTGCCTGTACGCGTGCCCAACCCTGGTGCTTGCCTCCCACGCAAAAAACAGTTTTGCCACATGCGCACGATTGATGTGGCCTGTCTTGTTTCCCCGCTCAGGTTTTCCCAAGCTCGCCCGCCAGCTGCTAAAGCAGTTCTTCCCGCTCTTCACGGCTGGTAACGAAAAGCTGACAGTGGTCACTTTTCTCTGCATGCGTGCCCTCATCCTGGTATCGGATGACAGCTTTATGGAAATTGCGCTCAAGGTGTGCTTGGACGGCTCGCCCCTATTTTTGATTGCGTCGGGCTTTATTTTATTTTATTTTTTATTTTATTTTTTATTTTTTTAATTATTATTCTTTTTTTGACCCTAACCACACGTGTTTTGCACGGCAACTCGCTTCCAGGGCGTGTACTTGAGCTTTGTCAAGTCGGCGCGCTTTACCACCGTCATTTCCCTGCCCAAAATCTCGCTCATGCGCAATGCCGGTATGTGCACACCACAAGTGTGCCTCGCTTCAGACAGGTCTAAGCTTCGAAATCCTGCTCATATTGTTGGCTTTGTTTGGTGGAACTCATCGCAGTTTGTGAGCTCTACACACTCAATACACAACTGGCGTACAAGCACGCCTTTGTGTACATTCGCCAGCTGGCCGTGCATCTTCGCAATGCCATTGTGCACAAGAAACGTGAAAATCTGCAGCAAGTGTACTGCTGGCCTTTTGTGCACTGCCTCCGCCTGTGGGCCCAGGTGCTGGGTCGGCACCTGGAAGACCTGGCGCCTCAGCAGCGTCAGGACAACATCATGTCCTCCCTGGTCTATCCTTTGGTCCAAGTGACGCTGGGTGTCGTACACCTGATTCCGACTTCCCGCTACTTTCCCTTGCGCTTCCATTGCCTCAAAACCCTCAACCTGCTGTCAGAGTGGTCGGGCGTGTTTGTGCCCGTGGCTTTTGCAGCCATGGACGTTTTGGAGTCTTCCGACATGGGCCGCAAGCCCAAGCCTTCGACGGGTCGGCCCCTGAACATGGATGTGCTCCTCAAGGTCTCAAAGACCAATCTTGGCACGCAACAGTTTCAGAAGGCTGTGGTCGAGCAGATGCAAGAGGTACTCTTGGACTTTTTCGCTATTCACGCAACCAAGATCGGATTTCCAGAGCTGATTGTGCCCTGCCAGGTGGCGCTCAAGCGATGCATGAAAAAAGCTCGCAATGGCGAAGTACGCCAGACCCTGAGCCAACTCGTCAGCAAGCTTGAGGAGAACAAGGCCTGGGTCACTCGCTCCCGTCAAAATGTTACGTTCAGCCCCAAGGACACACAACAAATTTTGACGCTGGAGCAGCAGCTTCGCTCCTCCAATGGCAGCCCCCTGCTCAAGTACCGCACGTCTTGGCAAAAGATCGTCCAGCAACGCCGACAGCTTTTGCAGCAACAGGCAGAGCAGCGCTATTTGCAATCGGACGAGCCGGTCGTCACCAAAAAGGGTGCAGCTGGCAAAGAAGCGGCAGGGGCCGACAAGAAAGCTGCTCGTGCTAAACGTGCGGCGGCAGATGCCCCCGCTTTAGCTCGCGAACTCCCCACGAAAAAGTACGATCCACGCTTCCGCTTTTTTGTCCCGCGTTGCGTTTTGGTACAAATAACCGTGCTTGAAGCACCGTGACAAATTCTCATTTGGTTGTCCTGCATCCCTCTTGTTTTGGCGCGTAGGAGCAAGCAGGAGTTGCGGGAGGACATTGACAACATGTCAGACGATGATGATATCGAGGAGGATGTCGTTGGTGAGGATCTGTCGTGGATGAACGAGTAGATGCCTAACTCTTCTTGCTCAAGCCAGCCTGAGCGAGTTCCGTGGGCATCATGATGGTGGTTTGATTGTCGGGTGGTCGTGTCAGACATGATGACACGATTTAGGCCCATGTTTCTTTTTTTTTTCTGGCTTCCTTGCATGCTTGTTTTGGGGAATTTGGCTGTGCCGTTTTGTGTCCCCGCTCCTCCCCTATGTCTCTTCTCGTCCTTCTTCAGTTTCGACGAAATCTAGCAACAACATTCAGGATGTCGACAAAGCCAAACACAAGATTTTTTTTTTCGATTGTTCTCAAAAGACAAGCCTCTCGCTCACTTGCTTGGGCTTTAACGCACTAGCAAGTGGGCAGAGCAAGCGTGGAATATAATGAAGGGGAAAAAAAAAAACACTTGGTGCGGAAGCAACAGCGCAAGCTTTATACGGTCAAGTCTCAACGCGAGCAGTGCACTACGAAAACAGTGAAAAACCGCAGCCAAGTTCTTGCGAGGCGTGGCACGGCCAGGCAACACCGCAAGAACAAGAATGGTGGGAGACGCGGGCGCAGCACAGACTCGGCAATATACAGGTGCGTCTGTCTAAGAGTCTTGTGGTTTCAAGCCGAGATGAGATTACGACTCGGTGGCCATGGCGGTCCGCATGTCTTCATCGTTGTACTCCCACAAGCCCTTTTCGTAGCCTTCTTGCACGTGGTCCAACAGCACGTCGTAGCGGCGATCACAATAGTTGCTGAGGTCCATGACTTCCAGACGCAGCTTGCTCAGGTCAATGTCGGTGGCTTCGCCCTCGAGGAAACCAGAAAGGCGTTCGGTGGCCATTTCCAAGTCTCTCTGGTTGGACTCGAAAATCTCACACTGGTTGTTTTTGGCCAGGTAGTAAGCAAAGACATAAGTGAACTTGAGCACGCTGCGAGCTCGTTGCAGTGACTCGACTGCCTTGCCCAGGAACTAAGACCAAGAGGAAGAAAGAAACAAAGCCATCAACATGAGGATCGTAGCTGGGCGGATTCGGGGTGTCGAGACTTGGACAAGTACAAATATCATAGAGAAGGACGAACAAAGAGGGGTGGGACAAACAGGAGAAAAAAAAAAAATAAAGATTGAAGCAATGCCCACCTGCACTTCGATCCAGGTAAAGTTGGCCTTTTGCATCTCGCGCTGCTTGTGCTCGACCAGCTGCCACAGCTTATGTTCAAGCTTGCTGCTGTGGTCGTGATTGGCAAATCGATGAAAGTAAAAGAGGTAGCGATCAAGGGAGGCACGCGAGTCGAGGGCACGGGCACGGGCGTCCTTGGCATCTTGCTCGTCAAATCGGTTGCACTGATACCACGATGAGCCGTGGGGGGCCCAGTCGCCCATGCATTGCCAGCAAAACTCATGACGACACTCCTGGCACGTCATGTGGTTGCAGCCGCCATTCTTCTCAATGGTGGCATGGCACTTGGGGCATTCCTTGGTATGCGAGGAGAGCCAGTTGGAGGTTTCCGAGTCGTCAGCACATTTTTTGAGCCACCGGCCCAGCATGGTGCACCTACAGCCGGCCAAGTTCAAGCGTCAGACTCGATGGTTGCTGATAACACGAAGCCGGCAAGAGGAAACGGGCAAGCTAGACGGGAGGGTTTGGGGCACATACTTGAGAGGGGCGTGCCATTCTTGCTGACACTTGAAGCAGAATGTGGTACCACATTTGCAGGTGACGGGCTGAGCCCGCGGAAGTTCTAAACGCAATGCATAGGTGCAATTGACGGCTGGGCACCATTGAATTTTCTTGTTGTGCTTGACGAATGCCTTGGCCACCAAGTAATTGTATCGAGCCAGCGTCTCCTGATCATCCTTCAACAACTTTCTGCTCGCACCCCATCAAAAATGAACACGCACAAGCACAATGACTAATTGCTGAAAAAGTAGAAAGCCATCAAAGGCAATGGTGTGGTCCAAAGGAACATTGGCAAAGGCCCTAGGGTTACGGGAGGGGTAAGGTTTTCTGTCAAATAGGAAGGCGACAACGTACGATACGGTGTATTCATCCACCAAAACATCACAAGTGTACTCCATGCAAGCAATATCCTGTAGGCCAACAGAAGAATTGAGCAAATGCCGAGGCGACAGAGAGGAGGTTGGGCAAGAAAGAGCATACCGTAGTGCCTTGATTCATGACCTTCTCGCGAAAATAGGCGGCCCAGCATGATTGGCAAAAGGGATGGCCACAGGGTAACTGCACCGATTCATCGGGTTGAATGTCCCCGCAGCAAATGCCACATTCGGTCACCAAATTGGTCTGGATGTTTTCTGGCTTGACACAGTGTGCCTCCGCATACAGACGGTCGGGGTCGCCATCACTGTAGTATCTGGCGAAGGAGGCAGGAGAAAGACAAATGAAAGAAAATTTGAGCTTTTGAGCGAGCCATCGCATGACACTCATGCGCTGTAAAAGCAGCGCAAAAGGGTCGAGAAGCGAGACGCAAAACAAAACTTGACTGACCGTTCCAGCAAGCGCTCTTTGTTCCAGTTGAAATGCGCGAGGAGGTGACGGGCCGTGGCGGCCGGGATTTGGAAGATGGAATTGACTTCCTCAATGGCTTGGAATTGAGCGCTGAGGAGCTCGGTGGGAGTCAAGACATCGACCTTGGCCTCGTGCACCTCTTCTGTCTCTGAATCCATGGCCAAGGCTTCGTCACCGTCGCCTTCGTCCGACCCCAGGTCCGACTCGTACTCGTCGTCCATCTGGGGAGGCATGGCATGCAGCGCACAAGTTAAACCAGATGGTACATCATCCAGGGGCCGTCGGGAGCCGAAGGGGACGCAGCGCTTTCCAAACAAGCAAAATCCGGCAAAATCCGCACACAGACAGTGCACACTCTCCCACACGCGCAGATGGCCCATGCAAAAAGACCATACCTCAGTGCCCGAGGAGACCAAGTCGTCATCCGAGTCCATGGTGCTTGTTGAGAGCTCAGGAAGACTGGAGAAAGGCGGTTGCGGTTGCAGAAGAGCCAAGGCGGGGCTCAAAGGTGCTCTCGACGTGGCGCGGCGCGCTGGTACAAGCAGAGCAACAACAAAAGCACAAGTGGCACTCGCAATACGCCAGAGGTGGACCAGAACCAACAGGCGTGACGGTTTTGGCAACTCAACGTGATAACCTGCTGTTTTGCAAATGCAATTCCAGAGGCAACGTTCTGCCTCGGCCGTGAGGGCGCTGCCGTTCCGCGTCACCAAGTCGGATAATTCTTGAGAGATGATCACTGTGCGACCACTTGAGGCAGTGTCGCGGAAATGAGAGAAGTTGTCGTAAATGTTCCAGTAAATGCAGATTTATAAAGCCAAGTAACCTTAATTATTACCGACTTGTTGAAGCAACGGTGTGAGAAGACGCAGCGGTAGAAGAGGACAATGCCATGACGTCGCACTTGACCGACGACTCCACTTCGAGACAACATTAACCTGATACTCTACAACGATAACTCTAGTTATTTACAAGGTATAATATAAGAAAAAATAATATTTTCGGCAGAAAGTCTGTTTATTGCTACAAAAGCTCCACAATGGTCCATCCCCAAGTGCTGGAATGCGCAACCAAAGTTGGCGATCGAATCATTTTATCTGACATAATTGCTACTCAATGGAATTGCTGACATTCCATGGCTTTGTTGATGAACAGTGTGTAAGACGTTGCACTCGAACCATTTGTTGATGTTTGATGTGTTTTACAGCAATGACTTCTTGTAGCCAAAAATGAGGTAAATGCAGTTCTGCTAATGTCAATAAAGTGAAATAGTGTTTGTAAATGTAAAGCTACTGCTGTGGACTTTTGTGCGCGATCTCTCATTTCTCGTCTCTCTCTCACGCACACACACGCTCCGACGACGACGACGACGCCAGCGCTCTGAGGGGGGATCTTGAGCCATGGCGAGTCACAACCCCTTTGCGGTGGATGGGGCGTCCCCGGCAGCAGCTGGTACGCAGCCTGATCTGCTGAGATGTGTTGTTTGTCTATCTCGGCGCTTCAGGTCCTCTGACTGACTGACAATCTTTGCCTTCCGCCACCACAGGATCACGGCGCATCTCCAGTACCTCAAGCAATCCTTTTGGCGATTCGCCGTCTGCTTCGAGCTCAAGGTTACCTTGCCTCCCTTCCGTTGTTGGTCGTGCCTTGAGACTTGGGGTGACTGGGCTCATGCATCGTGCCTGACCATCTTCGTACCGCTTCCACTGCCCATAGCCGGCCATCGCGCAAGGCCAGTTCAGCCAATCCGTTTGCTGACGCATCAGCAGCCGATCCGTTTGAGTCACCGCCGGTCTCACCCACCAAGGTCAAGTCGGAAGCACAGTCTGTCGGTGGCGCTCGCTCTACCCGCCCGGTCACTATCACCACTACCGCTGCCAAGGCATCCGAGGCTTCTTCGGCGGCCAGCAAGTCTGGCAAGACTCCTAAAGCAGCAAGCCAGATCCGAGCAGCTACGTCTGCGGCCCCGATCATTCCAGCCGAGCATGTCATGACGCACCTCGATCCAAACGCCGTGAGCGTCTTGAGCTCCACCGATCAGATCAAGGTGTGGGGTGCTGATCTGGAGCCTGACGGCGACGATGACAACCCAGTGGCGCCCGATGGCGGCTCGGCAGTACGACGCTCCACCGTGGCTGGCCGCAATGATCCAGGCTCAGCTGGCGTGTATGCCAGCACCCTTCGTCGCACCTTTACCCTGAGCAACCGCTCGCAACTTGAGGTCATGCGCCTTGTCAAAGAAAAGCACATTTCTATTGACGAAGCCTTGGCTTTGGCCGCCACCCGCGAGGAAGAGGAAGCGGCCTTTTCCATCTCCAATGAGGCTCAACTCGACCTCTTGCACCGCGTCAAGGCCGGTGAGCTCACTCAGGAACAGGCAACATCCACTGCGCGCGAGCTCTCCAAGGAACAGGTGCGTCATCGATGATTTTGCTGTCACATTGGCACCCTCCGGCTTGCTCGAGTCTTGGATGGCTGATGCCGGCGGCCAATATGCCAACTCCCTCTTGCTATCATGCTTCCATGCGGCCCTGTGCAACCCCGATAGGAGGAGCTGGCAGCGCAGCGCGAGAATGAGGAAATGGCCCAAGAGTTTGATGACTTTTTGAACATGTTCATTACTGGACGTTCACGATCCGACTCTGTTGACTCGCTGCAAGAGGCCCGCGCCACGGCTGAAGCCTTGTTCCAGGATCCTAGCGCCCTCGATGTCTATTGTCAACCCGTACGCCCCCTAGCTGAGATTGAAGCCGAGCACTCGGCCAATGTAGGTCATCAAGACGAGGTCTACCAGATTCAAGGCCAGCAATTTTAAGCCGATTTGCAGCTTCCCGCCTCGCGGTGTCGTGGCGGCAAGCAAGATTTTGCTTTGGCCAAGAACGACAACAAATAACGAGCATGTGTCGCGCGATGCAGACAACACGGGCCGGATCAGCCCATGTCTTGCGGTTTTAGGGTAGTAGAGACGCTGGTTGTCACTAGGAAGACCAGCACACAACGTGTTTTGTGGTATGCCTTACGGGGAACGCGGTCAGTTGCGGTGTGGTGTGTAGGTCAATTGAGCGCACAAATAGCTCCTGGTGTCCCGCAAGTTCATGTCGTGAAACGACGCAGTCAAAACAAGTTTGAACAGGAAGGAGATTAAACAAACGCAAACGCCAGTTGCTGGCGTGATGATCAGGCTCTGAATCCAATGTATCCCAACTGCTACAAGGCACGCCCAACTCATGGGCCATCACCAATCGCTTACCCTGTTGAGTTTAAAGCGACGAGTTTTCCCGAACCTCTATGAAAGCCTCCCGGCTCCCGCGCGAGGCTTCCTCAGCCTTGCCAGCAACAGCGGCTCGAGTCACAGCGCGAACATCATCATTGGTCAAGAAACCATCTTTGTCCACGTCCAGTTCTTCGTAACGCTTCATAATCATGTCAACCATCAACTGGTCCACAATCTTGTTTGTCACGAGCACGGCCATCAAAAACTGCCAGTTGCCCATTCCATCGGCCCTCGTCTCAAGGTGAGCCTGTCACTTGAGTTTGGGCACAGCGCCACGAAAAAAAAAAAAAAAAAAAAAAAAAAAAAAAAAAAAAAAACTTGAAACGTACCTCGGTGCGATCGATGCGGCGATCCTCATTTTGATCGATGGATTGAATCAAGCGCGATGTCAGCTTCTGCACCGTCCCCAGCCATGACGTGAAAAAGCATCGGTTGCGAATGGCGAATATTTTGATCAGACAATCAGGCATTGGCGCAGACACTAGATGTTATCTTGCTCACCTCGGGAAGGCTGTGAGTCAGGTTTCGCCGACTAGCCGCCTAATGTGGGGGCATATGCATAGAAGTAAAGAAGCACGTCAAGCAAGCGGCGTGCTGGCTGGATTTCTTGCGAGATGGAACACACTTACATTAAAGACTTCTGTAGAAATCCAGCCAATGAAGTGAAGGACAAACGTGACAAAGAAGGTAATGTAGAAGATGGTAAACCACATGGATCCGTAATCCAGGTTACCGCGACTGCGGCTGGGATGAATATCTCCATAGCCCACCTGGCAATCGAAAAGCGTTGTAAAAAGCAAGTCATATGGCAGGGGTGATGGTTCACCAATGCGGGGATGTCTAGCCGTGTACGCACCGAAGAGCCCGTGACAAGGCTGAAGTACAGGCCCTCGGCAACAGAGACGTCGAGGCGGAGTGAATAAAAGAGGGTCCCAATGACTACAGAAAGGGTAGCGAGACCGCAGGTTCGCAGCGATGAGACTCGGTGCGCACACTCCTCGGAACGGCAGCAGCCCGTGTGCTCCGGCACATCATGTTTACACACAGAGAAAGAACACGAGCAAGATGGCGTAGAGGCAGCCATTCAGAATCAAGTTGCGTCGGCGCTTTTTTAAATATCGTTCGGCTGCACTAGCAGGTCGCATCTATGCAGACAATGCAAGGGTCAGGACAGCAAGACCCGTGGCTAGCAAAGTCTGGTGCGAGCAAGATCGGGCGACCTCTCCGAGTCGAACCTGGCTGACGATTTCATCGTAGGTTTCTAGCAGTTGTGACTGCCGTGAAACGGTGCGAAATTGCAGACCCAACAAGAGCGTGAATAGACCCAATCCAAAGAGGAGCCAAAAAAAGGTGAAAATCTAAGTCAGCAGGCATATTGACATGTCCATCGACAGCAGTGGTGAGCCAAGGTCCCAACAAAGAGGTCAACCCCTATACCGAGGTGCAATTCAACTGCCACAAACCTGTGAGCCCTCAGTGCTGGGGCTAAAGTCACCATAGCCCACGGTGGAAAGGGTGCAAACGGTAAAATACAGGGCCTCGGTGAAGGTCCACTGCAACCGTGCCACATTGGGTGTGAGGTGTCTATTTTTTTTTTATCTGATCAAATGCCGCGGAGTGGCTCGCTCACTACCAAGCGCACCTGCTCAACTTGGGTATAAAAGATGACGCCGATAGCAAAGTGGCAGACACAGTAGACGAGAACCCAGACCGTGGTCCTAGTGCCCACCCCACAACATTGCGGATGAGCGCAGAGAGCATGAGCTTTTCTTGCATCAACTTTCAAGCAGATCGACGTACGCGTTCAGCGAGTAGATGTCGTGATAATTGATGTGAGCCATGCGCCGCAGGGTGCCCGTGAGACCGTAAGGCACACGATGCGGTGTCTCCTGCGTGCAGCGGGCCACTCTGACTCATGAGAAGGCCTGGGTGTGATCAGGGTTGGACGGCGAACAGCCTAGCTGGATTGTCCTTTTCTGCCGATTCACGAGGAGGCAAGAGTGCAAACCTCAGGCGTCGAGCTGCCGGTGTCCAGCTCCATGTCCCTGACTTGATGAGAACCAGATTCGCCGGCTGCGGCTACCGCCACGGCCACGGCCGGCATGGTGTCCGTCGTACCCTGATGCAAATCCAGTCGAGCTTGTTCTTTGTAGGTGGAAGGAAGAAAAAAGGAAGACGAAGGGCCCGGTCCTGTTTGCAGACTGGCTCGGGTATTGGGTGCTCTTGTCCGCACAACGGCTAAATGACAGACCGCCTCGTTTTCAACTGGCAGTCGTTCTCTCCCCACACCCCAGGACCATCCAACTGTGATGGCGCGCCCCTAGACGATGTCTGTCAACCAAGCCGTCTCCGCCGCCGCGCCCAAAAACTGCAGATGGCCAGCAGAGATGGAGAGAAGCTTGAGAGAAGTTTGAGAGAGTTGAGAGAGTTTGAGAAAGGTTGAGAGAGTTAGAGAAAGAGAGAAAGAGAGAGTTTGAGAGAGAGAGTTTGAGAGAGAGAGAGAGTTTGAGAGAGAGAGAGTTTGAGAGAGAGAGAGTTTGAGAGAGAGAGAGTTTGAGAGAGAGAGAGTTTGAGAGAGAGAGTTTGAGATTTGAGAGCGCAGAGAAATGATTGTCAGATTTCCAATTGTTCTTCCTAAGGGAGGTTGTTCGCGGCGGCGGCGGCGGTGGTGGTGTAGTTTTATTTCGACATGATGAAAAAGGTGGTGTGACGGTCAGACCATCGAGGTTGCACATGGCGGCCAGGGGCAAGGTTCGATTATTGTGTTGCAGTGTCCAATCTACTGCTAAATTCATCGTAAAAAGTTGCTATGGATGATGGGGTCGATTCAGGGAAGCGGCAACTTGCGGGTCACGCGTCAGAACCAATATGGACGCGCGGCGTCAAAGTCGGGGTTGATGTCAAGGTCATCAAGATTGGGGCGGCTTCTGGTTCGGCGGTAGGACGGATTGCGTCGACGATGGGCATGCCAATGATTGATGTACTCCGACTGCCAGGTTGGTGCTGAGCGCCGGTACACCTGAATGCCCTGGCACAGCCATTGCCACACGTTTTCCTGCGCCAGCTGCCCATGGGGGTGCGAGCAAACGGACAACAACATAATCACATCACACGGCATGAGCTAACAATTGAACAAAGGGGAGGCAGATGGGCCTGGAAGAGTGATGTGCAAAGGGTACAGACCTCACGAGCCAAGGGAGCAGAGGCCAAGGCCAGGTTGTTCAGGTCGGCGGGCGCCAAAAAAGAAAGCACACGCCACAAAGCATCCCGAGGCAGGCCTTCAAGGCAGTCGCTCGTGTCCAGGCCTCGCTGATATCGCGCATCAAGACTCAAGGGGTGGGCCAAGTGGTCGGCCAGTTGGCGCTGGGCTTCGGCCAGGAGCACACCGGGGCCGCGATGTGCACCTGTGGAGAGGTTAATCATCGCTGATCGATGACGTGTGCGTCCAGAGGTGGGGCCTCGCGTTGTGCCATGGCAGAGAAACCGGCTGGGCCCCGTCGAGGTGAGGGCCACGTGAGCCGAGCTGGTGGATCCCGAGCCGGCGTCCACACCGGACCATTGAAAGTGGAGATCATAGATATGATCACGCTGCATGGGGTTGCCGGGGCTGAGCGTGGGCATGGTCCAACCATGGGTGTCCAGCGCTCGGCGCAGGGCTTCAGTTAACAGTTGAAGTGGCGTGCTGAAGCTCGCGTTACTGACATTGGCCGGCGTGAGTGACGGCGGCGACGGGCGAGCGGTGCTAGGTATGATTTGACCGCCTGGTATTGCATTCGGCCCTGGTGGCATGCTTGCACTCGGTGTGAGTTCTGGTGCGGATGCTGCTGGCGCGGGTACTGCTGACGCGGGTACTGCTGACGCGGGTGCTGCTGACGCGGGTGCTGCTGGTGCATTGTGTCCAGGTGGCGTGAGCAGGTAAACGAGGTCACCAGCGCAAATGCCCAGAGCCGTCAGGTGATTGGTGGGGAGGGCATTCAGCGGAGTTTTGCCGTTGAGCGACGGGCGTACACTGCGTGTCATGAGACGTCACACGGGCGATGGTGAGCGAGCAGGCACAGCGCGCTGCGGCCCTGGCCGCATGAGTGCATCCAAACATACTTATCAAGGTGAAAGCGCGGCCCACCCTCAGGGTGTTGTTCCAGCTCCCGCAGCAGGTCCCCCCATGTAGCGCCTTGAGCCAGGGCAACCCGCACCGTGTGCGTGCTGCCATCCGCTGCCGGACGCTGTCGCACCCGCAACTGCATGTTGGCTTCAAGAAGCAGAAAAAAGTATTTTACTATCACTTGGCTACGAGATCCCGTCATCAGGCTTTGACTTTGGGAGTGAAATACTTTTTGCTCTTGTGGTGACGAGACCGGCAGCGGGGCCGGCCCGTGTCGGATGAATGCCAGTGAGTTATCATGCGCCCGTGCGCCCAGATGCCATTACTGAGCAAGGTGAAGGCTGGCGCACTCAAGGGGGGGTTTAAAAACCAGGATCAGAGGCGAGACCATCCCGCGATCTGCACAGAAAGATGTTGATTTCCAACCTCTGCTTTCACCTTGATTTCCACCCTAGAGTCATCTCTAAGCATCATCTCTAAAACCACACAATCACAAGTCAGAGTTGTTGCTTACTTTTGACTTGACAGTAAGAAAGAGAGAGAGAGAGAGACACACACAGAGATGCAAATGGCAGCTCGGCATCGCCTCTCTCCCTCCCGCCAAAGGCATTCAGGACTCGGGCATGCCATGCCTCCTGCGCGGACGGGTAATCTGGTGATATTGTCTCATGTGCGGGTGTTTGGATGTGACAGATTGTCGGTGTTGAATGTAGAGCCTGCTTGTCTTTGCCAGTGTCTTCAACTGCTTTTCTCTGGCGTGCTGAGTTGGTCTCCTGCAAGTCACCGGGCTCATGGCGCTGTACAAGCGCACCGCCGAGGCGGGTGTGGGCGATGCCATTCTCTTGGAGCCCGTGACCGAGGTGTGTCTTCCGCGCTTGGGATGTCCCAGACCCCATTGTTTCGGGGTTTAGTGGCCAAGTGGGCGTTGCACTGGAGCGGCGCATGCCCAGCGCTGGTCTCACGCGTCGCAATCAATCATCGCTCGGACTTGCACAGGATGCCTTTCTCGACAACCTCAAGCTACGCTTTTCCAATGGCTTTATCTACACCTACATTGGCGAAGTCGTCATCTCCGTCAACCCATATCGGTCTGTGCCCCCGACCGCTTCTCTCGCCCCCTCCCGCCCCTCGCGCTTGCTCTTGTTGGGCCAAAGCCATCTGCCAGACTGCCCCATACATGCGCGCCTCGCGCCATTGATTACGCACACGTTGAACTGACTGTGCTTTGTTGCGGTTGCGGTGGCCTTGGCTTCGTGATCTAGCTCATTGGACATTTACGGAGACAAGATGATCAAAGAATATCGCAGTCGTGAGGTGTGCCAACTGACTGCCGTCTAATCCTCATACCCACGCACCCAAATGCCTGACTCAACTCCCAACTTGATCGTTTCGTGTGCCGGTGTCGCGGTTCCATGACCTTTGACATCCTTTGTACTCGTGGTTTAGATGTACGAGCGCGATCCACATATTTTTGCGCTTGCCGATGCTGCCTACCGAGCCATGAAGCGACTGTCCAAGGACACCTGCATTGTCATTTCAGGTCCGTCCTTGCGCACACCAGAGTCAAGCGGAATGCATACCGGCAGCTGCGGGCCGGGATCGAGAAATTCTTGCTTTGCACTCGAGCAGGGGGTGGTCTGCCCACCGTCTGATACATTGCCATGGCGTACGTAATTTGCAGGCGAGAGCGGCGCCGGTAAAACCGAGGCCAGCAAAATCATCATGCGCTACATTGCCAAAGTCACCAACCCCAGTCAACAGGCAGAGATTGAACGCGTCAAAGAGATGGTATCCGCTTTGCCTGCCTTTCGCCCTACCCCCACTCCTTGTTCTTGTTCTTGATTTGCACTCATCGATGGCACTGCGCCCAACCGCTCGCGCAGCTTTTGAAGAGCAACGCGGTCCTTGAGTCCTTTGGCAACGCCCGCACCAATCGCAATGACAATTCCAGCCGGTTTGGCAAATACATGGCCATCAATTTTGATTACAAAGGCACGTGCATACATCACGGCTCTCCCAGCCCGACCGTGGTCTAGAAATGGACTTGCCTCCAACCCCAAAGCCACCTCATTTGCATCGTTGACCTGGGCATCGCCCTCTGTAGGCGATCCAATTGGCGGTCATATCCAAAACTACTTGCTGGAAAAGGCCCGTGTGGTGGGCCAACAGGTACGCCACAGCATGCCAGGCGCGCCCTCGTTTGCTCCTCGTCGGGCCGGCCAACCTGATCCACCAGCCTAATCCACTGTGTTCAATACTCGCTTCAGGAGGGTGAACGCAACTTTCATGTTTTCTATCAGCTCTTGGCCGGCGCTGGTGATGCCGATTTACGCCGGATGGGCCTGCAAGCCGACGCCACCAAGTATGCATATGCCAATGGGGGCAAAACTGTCGCAGTGCGCGGCATCAACGACAAGCGCGACTATCGCGAGGCCAGTGAGGCCATGCAATCCATTGGTTTTGACCCAGAGGTCCAGAAAACTGTTTGGAATATCGTGGCCTCTGTGTTGCATCTTGGAAATTTGTCGTTTGAGAAAGTCGGCGACAATTGCAAGGTATGCTCGCGTGCAGCACCAGACGCCAACTCGCAAGGGGTTACATATTGACCCCAAGCTCCTGCCCACCGCAGCTCGTCAACTCGGAGCACGTACGCTCCATTTGCCAACTTCTGGACCTGCAACAGCCCGAGCTAGAGGCCGCCCTGACCACCCGGTTGGTACAGATCGCTTGCCTTCTGGCTCTAGAGATGTGAGAGATTCTGCGTCTAACCTGGAATCTTGATGGTGAATAGCGTGGTGGCCGCTCGTGGCGAGGTGGTCAAAAAGCCCCTCAAGCAAGGCGAGGCCGAAATTGCTCGCGATGCCCTGGCCAAGGTTTGTCCCAAGCCCTGTAACGAGCTTTTTGTGGTGGGCTGGCTCAGTGGTGTTGCTCACCTCAAAACTTTGGGCCATGGTTTCTTCTTCTATCATCTGCACGGACCTGCTTTTTCAGGCGCTGTACGAGCGAACTTTTTCGACGATTGTGCAGGCCATCAACGATGCCATCCAAGTCCGCGACACCGGCGGTCGTACGACCGTGATCGGTGTCCTGGACATTTACGGCTTTGAGATCTTTGACAACAACGGCTTTGAGCAACTGTGCATCAACTACTGCAATGAAAAGCTGCAGCAGCTTTTCATTGAGCTGGTGAGACCACATGTCCGCATCCATGTTGGCGTTTGTGGGCTGCCCTTCTATGTGAGGGCATGAGCTGACGCAGGCCTTGCTGACGAAATAATATAGGTTCTCAAGCGTGAGCAGGAAGAATATCGCGCCGAGGGCATCACTTGGACAGATGTCAAGGTACGATTGGCATCACCTGCTTTTTTTCAGCCGCACCTCGCCATCCATTCGCGGCTGATCTCTGAATCGTGCTGGTTTGGTCGTGCCCAGTTCTTCAACAATCGTGTGATTTGCGAGCTGATCGAGAGTCAGCGGAGCGGCATCTTGGGCATTCTTGATGAAAAGTGTCTCATGGTGGGCAAGATGACGGATGAAGACTTTCTGGATCACATGGACAAGGAGCTCACGCGACACGACCATTACACCTCTCGCATGGTCTGTGTCTGATCTCGTCGACATTTGCTCGTGCAACGTGACGGTGGGGAGGAGGGAGTTTATTTTTTTACTTTTTATTTTTTATTTTTATTCCATCCATTGACGGACTTATCTGCGCCTGGCGCAGACGGACCGTAATAACAAGCAGCTTCGCTTGGGCGTCGACTTTCAACTGAAGCATTTTGCAGGCGACGTCACTTATCAGGTTCTTACACAAGACTGAAGGCCCAGCAGGCCCAGCATCCCCTCGTACTTTGCAGCCATTGTGGCGTGCACACTCACAATTTGTGGGATGCATTGCTTGCTAGGTGCCTGGCTTTCTGGAGAAGAATCGCGACACCTTGTTCCAAGATCTCAAGCGCTTGCTGTATCACTCGCGCAACGGCGTTCTGCAAAAGGTGCGCTTTTTCCGGTACTCGGCACGTTGTGACAGAGGTATACATCTCATGATCCATGCAACTTTCACCCACGCCCAACGATCAGATGTGGCCCGAGGGTGCCCAAGACATTGCGGCTGTCAACAAGCGCCCCGTCACGGCGGGCAAGTCGTTCCGCACCTCGATGAAAGCGCTTGTAGAGCAGCTCGAGCTGAAGGAGCCTTTTTACGTGCGGTATGTGACTTTAAGGCTTGCCCATGCGTGCTCCACTCTTGAATTTGCGCCCTCATCTACAAGGGCGTTGCCCCTGCCGAGCTCATAGATGCATCAAGCCCAACGAATCCAAGTCCTCTGTCGAGTTTAACGAGACGCGCGTTCGCCACCAGGTATGCTTGGTTTGTTACTCATGTGTAAAGTCGGATCTCGCATCTCTGTGTGAATGTTCTGCTCTTGCTTCATCGTTTGCTATTTCTTGCCCTTGAACCGTTGCGCCCACGTGTTGTGTTTTTGCTCACGCCACGACTGGGGCATATTTAGGTGGCCTATTTGGGTCTTATGGAGAACGTGCGGGTGCGTCGAGCTGGCTATGCCAATCGGCAAAAGTTTGAAATCTTCATCGACCGCTACAAGATGCTTTGCGATGAAACGTGGCCCAATTGGCGGTAAGTTTTCGGGTCCATCGCAATGTTTGACTGTTTGGAACTCTGAGTGTAATGTGCACCTCCCATGTCGCTTCCCTTGTGATGCTTTTGCACTGGTAGTGGTGACCTGGCAGAGGGCGTCTTGAAGATTTGCTACCAGTTTCGCCTGGACTTTCCACCCAACAAGGACCACGACGTGGCGTTGGGCAAGACCAAGATCTTCATTCGCAAGCCCAATACGCTCGCACTTTTGGAAAATGCACGCAAGGCCAAGATTCCAGACCTAGTCGTCGTCATCCAGGCACGCTGGCGCGCCTTTATGGCACGACGCTACGTGCGCCGTTTGCGGGCTGTCCTGGTGATTCTGCGGGTGTTTCGCAACTACAAGTTGCGCAAACACTTTATCAAAATTCAGCGTGCCTTTGCCAACGTCGCGCAGGACCCCGATTATGGCCGTGACATTGTACGTGATAGCAGCCCCACCCTTTTCGCCCTTTTGTTCCTTTGTCTGGCATCACCATGAAGCTTCTCGCTTAACGATGCGCGCTCATGGTCGCTTCTTGGTTGGCAGGTATGGCCAGCGGCCCCAGCGGTCTTGGACAAATTTACGCAGTCGCTGCAGTATATCCACAAAAAGTGGCGTGCACGTCAGATCGTTGCTCGGTGAGGTCCTCATGGGGGGGTTTCTCTCGGCTTTGCCCCGCTTGTCGCACCTCTTTTTTTTTTTTTTTTTTTTTGACATTTTTTCGTGGTCGCGGATCCTGTACGATGGACTTTGCAGCATGTCGGAAGACTTGCAACAAGCCATGCGCTTGAAGGTGCTGGGCTATGTCCTGTTGCACCGCCGCACCTCCTACTGGGGCCTCCAGCGAGCATGGGAAGGGGACTATTTGTCTCTCCCGATGGAAAACGATGCACCGGCACTCTATGAGCAAAGCGTCAAGGGCCTGCTGTCTCAGGTCAGAAGGCGGGACTCCATGAGCATGGCCTAGCGGTGACTTTGTAGTTTGCAATTCAGGCCAGCACAGTGCATTGCTCACCGTGGATGCTGCTGGCATCGCGTGCAGGGCAATGGCTCGAGGGTGCTCTTTTCTACGCTGGTGTACAAGCTTTCCCACCGCGTACGTATCGTGTCGCACCTTGAACGACCTCGAGTTCCCTGCTCCACCACCACTGGCCTCACTTCCGTCCAATCCTTTTGCACTCCCATTTGAATGCCAAAAACCCGAATATACGTGTACATGTGCAGGGCAAGACACAACTGCGTGGCTTTGTCATGACTGACAAGGCACTGCTCAAATTGGACCCTTTGAAGGAGTACAAGCTTGGGTCGGACCCTATCCAGTTGATGCACGTGGACGCTGTCACCATCCCCTCGCAGGCCGAGCCGGTGATTGTGCTGCACCTCCGCGACACCAACGACCTGGTCCTGTACTTTAAGTCTGGAGGCGAGCGCATCGGCGAGTTTGTGACCTTGTTGGCTCGCCAGCTGTACATGAATCGTCGCTTGTTGCAGATCCATGTGCGCGACAGCATTACTTTTCGGTTTGGTGGCACGCTGGACCTTTCGCTTCAACGCGGCGCCATGGTCACCGAGCCCGTGTTTACTAAAGTGGCAGGTACGAAGCACAGCCGCAAAAAAGGCATACGCGCGCGCGCGCGCGAGTGTGTGTGTGTGTGTGTGTGTGTGTGTGTGTGTGAACGTTTGCTCGTGAGCTCATGTGACGGTATGGATGCTGTCTCCTTTTGCTGTGAACATGAGAGCAGGTGGATACAACATCATGGTCCCAGCTCTTCGCCTGTCGGACGAGGTGGTGACGGCCGACGCATAAAACACAGCCTTGCTCCACTTGTCAGTCGGTAGCCTGCGTGTGTGATAAAAACTTAGGAAGAACCGACCCACCTAGACACTGGCCCCTACGCATGGGCGTTTGAGAAGCGTCTGGGTGTGTCAGCCGTCCGGTTGTGCTTGCTATTGGACGGTACACACTTTGAGCCGGAAATGCCCCGGTCGCTCGTTCAAGTTGCAGGTCATCCAAATTTAGTTTTACCGAAAGGAATCGGGGCTGATGCAAAGTTCGGTAAATTTGGAGAGAAAAACAACAACATATGGCTTCACCTAAAGCACATGCAAGATTCGGGACAAGACGGAGGGATAGGGCAAAAAGGAGAGGACGCGGCCGGTGGCCTCGAGAGGACCTTGAGCAAGTGAACCATTCATCAGGCCTCAGGCCTTGGTAGCACCCTCAATGGCCTCGCTAGGCGCAGCATGCAAAGGTGTGTGTGTTGTGTTGCCGATGCGGGTCTACAGATTGAAGGGCGATCATGAGGGCGACAGGGTGCCGCGAGGGTTGGGCCGAGGTTGAAAGGCGGTCACGTACCACGGGGCGGGCAGCACGACGATTGTCGCGCATGTAGTAGGCGTTGTTGGACACCTTGTGGGCCGGACCCTCGGGCAAGTGGGGCTTGGGCGGCGAGCGCGTAGCCACGTCGCGCGCAAACCGCAGGTGCTCAGGCATGATCGCCTTCTCGCCGGCGAGAAAGCGGAAAAAGATTCGAGAAATGGGGTTGGACATGATGCCGGGCACGGTCCGGAATGGAGATAAGACTGCAACTCTACATCACAGAAAACACGCACGCACAGCGCAAGAGCCTGTGAGTGACCTGTGACATGGCACGACTGAATAAAGCTGGGATACGGCCGCTTGGCTTGCATTCGTCCAAAAGCGCCCTCGCACACGCCTCCTGGGCTGCCCTTTTTCGCCCTGGCGCTCCTCTCACTCTCTCTCGTCTCTCTCTCACTTTTTCTCTATCTCGTACCAAAAGGGGTCAAAAATACTTTGAAGATGCAAACTGACCTCCGTATTCCGATCGGTGATTTTATCTGACAAATAAGCATTATGGTCACTGGTTTCATGAAATTGAAATGGTTTGCGCAGTTTCACACACACACACACACACACACACACACACACACACACACACACACACACACACACACACACACACACACACACACACACACACACACACACACACACACACACACACACACACACACACACACACACACACCGTCGCGCCGATGCGATGGCCGGGTTGAGCACGCTGCAGGAATTGGCCGCCAGTATGGATGAGCAGCCTGTGGTGGAGGGGGATCGTGGTGAGATGTATCGTGTGGATAATGCAGGCCATGATCTGCCGCGGCCGGGGGCAGCAACGAGTCAGCGCAGCAGTCGGAGTAGTCGTGGCAGTCGGAGTAGCCGGGAGAGCTCGGGGACTGCTTTTCGGCGCGCTGGCTCTTCTCAGCGAAGCTCGGTGCATGGACGATCAGAGACGCTTCAACTTCTGCTGGAGGAGCAGGCCCATCTGCAAGCCCAGGTAGAGGGGGCGCAGGCTCGCTTGCGCAGTGATACGCATTCACTAAAGGATGACCTGTACGCGCGCAATCGCGACCTGGCCGAGACCAATCGGGATCTGCGTGACCGTCTAGAGGTGCTCAAGCAGCAGACGTTAGAGGAGATTGGTCTGCGCGTAGCAGCAGAACGCGAGGCTACAAAATTGGCTGCTGACATCCTAGCCTTGCGAGACGAACTCTCGGACCAGGATGAGCCTGTCCCCGTGGACGCCCTCAGCCTCCTGACGCTGGTCGAGACGCTGCAGGCATCTCGACATGAGCGCGACATGGCTCTGGAGCGCGCAAAACGGGCCGAAGCGGCGCGTGCCAAGCTCGAGGCACACATGCAAGAGCAAAGAGGGCGAACCCATAAACCAGGTGGAGACGCGGAGCCCCTCAAATATTATGAGGAGGTGCATCAGCTCCAAAAGCAGCGTCACGAGGAAATGAAACGAGCCATGCAACGCCTGCAAGCACAGCTTGCGGACAAAGAGCGAGAGCTTGCTGATTTGCAAGCGATGGTAGGCTCATGAGAACCGCGCATTTCCCACAAATTCTGACGTAGGACCAGCCACACTGACGCGTATTGTTTCGGTTTGCCTTGCACGACAGGTGGGCCCAGATGTACGGCGCAAGTGGGATGACGATGCCATGGCCTTTGTGCCCACGGCACAGGAGTTGCGCCTGCAGGAGCTGCAAGCAGAGGTTGAGCGTCTGCGTGCCAGGGCAGCGCGTGACCACCAGCAGCGAAAAGATTACGAGCACTTGGCACGTCGGCATCAGCAGCGCGAGGCGCGTGCCGGCGCGCAGGAGCGACTGCAACATCTGGTGCGCGAGTATGAGGCTGACCAAAAGCGGCTGCGTCACCAGATGCAGCACTTGCAGCGTCAGCACGATGCCCAGGCCAAGGTGCAGGAGATGCAGCTCTCGGACCTGGAAACGGCCTTGCATCATGCACAAGCACAGATGCCCTTGTCGGCACCCGATGCCTACGTCACCCTCTGCGCCCACCAGTGGCAGGTGGACACATACCTGGACCTCGCGCGTGCCTTGCAAGAGCTGCTGCACCTTACGTTCTACCATCTGTCAGACGCCGATGCACAGCAACTTCGTCGCCACATGGAGGTTGGTTCGCCTTCTTCGCCTCTCTGCGCGCAACTTTCTCCGTGAGCCTGTTTCTGTGTGCGCCTCAGCCAATGTGCTTCCAGGCTGAGAAAAAAGGAAAAAAGCAAAAGTGTGGTCATGTTGCACTGTGCTTTTACCCCAGCAAAACTCATGTCTCATCTCGACCATCCCTACCCACAGGCCTTGGACCTGGGCTTGCTCGATGAGGAGCTGCCCGCTCGGTGGGAGTGTCTGGTTGATGCCAATGGCCTCTGCTATTACGTGGATCATGAGACCAAGACCTCGTCCTGGATTCATCCACGGTTTACCCAAGCTTTGGAGCAAGTGGCTCACCATCAATCAGTGGACCCTCTGCCACCACCAGCTCGAGTCGACGAGCCACAGCGTCGTTCGTCTGGACCGCCCACAACCTATGCCGAGGGCGCTGCCATCGTTGCCGCCTTGCAGCAGCAGCCGGTTCAGCAGCAGATACAGCGGCAGCGAAAACAGTCGGGTCAAGACCTTCCACCTCGACAGTCGCGAGGATTGTTGCCTGCCAGTGCCGTATCAAGCCGCGCAAGCTCTGAGCAAACCAAGTCAAAACCCAAATCAAACAAGACGTCTTGGCGAGGGCGCCGGCGACAGAGAGAGGTATATCAGCTGGAAGAAGATCTGGTCTGATTGTGAATCGTATACTGAATTGATTTCCCAACGTCATGCTACACCCCACAGGCGCCTGCTCGACCACGATCTGACGACACGCATCCCGATAAAATGCAGTCGCCACGGGTGTCGTCGTACCCGCGACACTCGCTTGATCCCTCCCCAACAACATTATGAACACCACCAAGAACAGAATGAAAAGAAAATTGAGGGTCGACCAGAGCCGCCAAAAGTAGAGAAAAGCCACGGGACCATGCCGTGCCCCCAAGATGTATGTAGAGCTGCCGCCACACAAGCACGTCCGACATTTAAAGCACAGCAAACACGGACAGAAAGTCGTTGCCCCTGGCATCGCTAGCCAAAGGCTTCGCGGGCTCGCTCTTCACCAAAGCGCATGACGGTGGCGCCTCGTTTGATGGGGCGAAGAGCTGGCGACTCGACATACGAGTCACATTCAAAGCACCAGAAGGAAAAATCACTAAAACTAAAGGCGACCGCATGACCCGACGCGCGAAGTGCGGGTGGCAGAGGAAGACTGGGCGGCAGTGTGCCGCGGGAGTCTTCATAGTGCTTCAGCATACAGCCATTGATGTAGCGACTGCAGCGTACCGTGCTGCAGGCCAGGCAGACCCAGTTCTCGCCGACATGGCCGCAGTCACAACAAGGGCTCTCCAGCTCAAACTCAAGCATCGGGCGCACCAAGGCCACATGCGGACAATCTCGTTTGGGCTCGACGGCAAAGTACCCAGAGTCCAACGCCACCGCAACCCCAACATCATCGCTTGCCCGGGCCGCCGCATCAGCCGCCACCCCCATCGCCGATGCCGTCGCATCAGTCGCGCCCGCGCCATCGGCGCCAATTCCAGTGTCAGCCATCTTCGGCTCACGGCGCCAGAACCAGTAAAATAAAATGTACTTCTCGGAACTGTCATTCTCTCACCATATAGTTTCGAGGGGGAAAGGAACCCTTCTCGGAGTTTGAAAAGCGTGCTCCGATTCGGAGAACGTGAGCGGAGCGCGTTCCGAAACCTACGTTTGGCGGCGACGGCGGCGGCGGCGTCGGCAGCAGCAGCAGCAGCAGCAGCAGCAGCAGTGTTGGTGGTTTTCAGCAAAAAAACAGGGCTGCACGCATGGCTACTCTGTGAAAAGATATCACACAGCATCTGCACTGCGTATTTCGCAGCTTGGCTGAGCCATTGACAGTTGAGCACGCTTGGCTTGGCGCCCCTCGACCTCGAGTGAGGCAGCACAAGCACAGGGCTCCTCTCCTCGCCTTCTTCGCTCTGGTTGGGAAGCAACTGAGGTGCAAGAGCCTCGGGGCCAGGCACCTTTGCTCGTGGGATACTGACTCCACCTACTTCTTACAAACCGTGCTCATAAAAATAGCCTGCGCCTGGCGCTCGGAGCCAGGCCGTGCTGGAAAGACGGGAGCCGTGCGCCTTGCGCTCCGAAAACACCCGACAACTTCTTGACCCTCTCCGCTCGTGGTTGGGGGTTACCCGTCAAGCCTGGCTGATGGCGTCCAATTCCGCGGACCCTTCCCCGCGCTCATGGTCGGCTCCCTCACCAGCAGCCAATGGCCCTGCGCCGGTCGAGCCGGACCTTGAGCGCGAGATCTGTGCAGCCTTTCCGTCCCCCGTCCCCGTGACCTTTCCCTTTCGGACACGCGAGCTTCCCCGTATTTCCGCCGATGACCAAGACAAGTTGATGCGCCATATGCAGGCCGGTCGCCCCGTCGTCATCACCAACTCATCCCTTTGTGCCCCAGCCGCACGCTGGGACCTGGCGTACCTGGGCAAGCACATGGGTAGCGGGCCCTGCCACGTGTACACGGGGCCCAGTCCGACTTTCAGGGACTTTGACCCTGCAAAGAATCAAGGCGGGTACCACTTTGATACCCCCATCACCTCTTCCCAACGCACTTTTGCGCGATTCATCGATATGCTCCGCAAAGCCGGCGGCCAGAACAAGTTTCACTATCTTCAGCAGGTCAGTTCATTGCAGCTACCACCTCGAGCAAACACGTGTTGGCCTTCCTCATCTATCATGACCGGCTATGTTCGTGGTGGCAGGCCTTGAATGACACAGTTGGGGCTCGCCTGGTTCAAGATTACCTCGGTTTTGACTGGGAGTGGCTCAGGTCCATCGTGGTAGCTCTCAAGTGGGGCGCACTCAACTCCAACACGCTCTTTGTTGGACCCCCCGGTGTGCACACCCCCATGCACTACGATGAATACCAAAATCTCTTTGCTCAGGTGCGGTCATTTCGAGCTCAAACTGGAGCTGGGCAGTCAAAACTGTCTTTGACATATTTAACTCTGTCCATCGTGGTTTTCTGCGTATAGTTGCAAGGATCCAAGCAATGCACTCTGGTTCCGCCTTCCCAGTTTGAGGCCATGCGCGCATACCGGTTTGTCCCCTCTGCTTATCGGCTTCTTTGAGTACCGCCTGCTCTTGCCTTGCTCTAATATTGGCGTCTTCATCGCCCGTTTCTCTCCATCGCACCTTCAGGGTTGGGCATCCGTACGATCGACAGAGCCAAGTGAGTGTTTTTGAAAAAAAAAAAAAAAAAAAAAAAAAAAAAAAAAAAAAAAAGACGGAGAAAGAAAAACTTGGAGCTTGCCCTGCACTTCCATACCACCCCTGCTGATACCATTACATCATGTCGTCGACGTCGTCCTCGTCGTCCTCTTCTTCTTCTTCTTCTTCTTCTTCTTCTTCTTTTTCTTCTTATTCGTCGTCTTCTCGTTTTTTCTGCAGTGGAACTTTGAAGACCCCGGATCACTTGACACGGACATGCTCAGTCGCGTTCCAGCATATGTCACCACGGTATGCCAACACTCGTCTGGATGCTCTGTTTGTGTCTCGATTCCGTCGCTATTATTGACCAACACGTCAAACGTGTACCGCGGCAGCTGCAACCCGGCGAGGTCTTGTACATCCCACGTAGCTGGTGGCATCACATTCAATCCCTGGAGCAAGCAAGTGCCACCCCTGCTTTTATTCATATCCATCCTCTCACTTCGGAACATAGAGTTTGCAAAGCGGTCAAGACCTCTGTTCTAACCCTGACATTTCCTTTTTAGGTGACGGTTTCGCTCAACTTCTGGTACCACGCTCCCTCAACCCCACTGGGCGCTATTCATCAGCCCTTGGCAGCACCCCACAAGGTAAAGCTTGTGGGTCGCCGCGCACGTTGGGACTCCTGGCAGCTCACTCTATTGGGATTTTGTTTGTTGCACAGGTGGCGCTTTTGCGCAACGTTGAGCAGATGCTGTTGACAGCCCTTGGATCACCGACGGAGGTTGAGGATTTTCTGCGCCTGTTGGTCAAGGGTCGCTATGATACACGTGACAATCACCAGTTGGCTACATCCAGAGACGTCAATTAGCCGCGTCAGTGGCCAACACGAAGCAATTTTGCAAGACTCAGACCGCTCAAGACCACACAAACAAACAGAGCAGTCGATCAGGCTAGGTTCAGTTATGATGAGAAAAACAATATGTGAGTCTGCTGCAGAGACAAGGCTGCCGTGCAGCATCTGCGACCCAAATTGACTTGGAAAACGGATATGCTGTCAACTCGTAGCGGTCGAGGTTCGCAGCTGCTGAGCTCAAGGGCAGGTCAATCTGTAAAATAATTCCTCGCGAGTTGTGTAGTTGGCCCATTCCAAATCCCATGCAGCTGCATCCGTCTCATAAGCTTCCAGCTCCATTTTAAAGGCAGCCAGCTCTTGCTCGTACTCGGCCAGATCCCGCGTCACGAAATCGGCGTCTTGCTCAGCTTGAGCTGCCATCCAATGCTGGGTGGCTTTTTGGTAAGCCTCGATCTCTGTCGCATCATAGAGAGCCCCTGCACAACCATTGACATGGTGAGTGAGCAGGCGCAGCTTGTCTCTGCAACCTCGTTTTGGAAGTGGAACCAAGACAACTAAACAGCAAGGCAGAAAGAAAAGCAAAGAAAAGCCTAGACCTAGACACGTGTGTGCAGGGGTGGCGCTTTGGAGTTCAAACGTACGGCGTAGACAGACGGCGCAGCAGCGGCGCACGCTGGGGTATTGCGACTGATACTCAATCTCATCATCAGCGCAGGATAGGGCAGGGCACACCTCATCTGTCAAGCACCGAAGGACTGCGGAAAACAACGAATCGTGTTGCAGTGATTGAGTCCCTTGACAAAACAAGGCATTGTGCAAGATCTTTCATCAGCTCGAGGAAAAAAAAAATTGAAAGCCAGAATACTTACTGGCATGGGGTGCACTAAGGATGACAACTTTGCCATCGGGTTCAGTCGTTGTCAGGGCGGCAAAGGTGCTTGAATTCAGAAGCATGTCCAGCTGGGACACCACGTAAGTTTCGCCAAAGACTCGAGTGTTGATGCGTAGCTCCAGACGCTGCACATCGCGGATGGCACTGGCCGTGGCCCGAAGCTCGCGAAGGGTCTCATTCACGTGCACATCGTCGCCATACACGCCCGGGATGGCGGCAGCGATGAAGGCGCTTATCGTTGCAAGAGAAGCGTTGGGTGTGATGAGCTCAATGACAGCTACTGTCTGAAAGCCCATACTCTGCGTTGGTCCGACAGTAGGCTGCAGTACGCCTTGGCACACGCCAGCGACGCACTCATCAAAGTCAGTCATGCCATTGCCATCGTCGCAGGGCGTCCCATCTGATTTGGTAGGATTGGAGCAGCTACCAAAGCTGCAAGTACCCACATCGTGACATTGGGACGCCGGAGTACAGGTCACGTTCTCGCAGAGGTCAACGCCGACACATACGCCCCAGCCATCGCAGGTGTCGTTGGTGTAGCTAAGACCATCATCACAGGGCGTGCCCGCCATAGCAGGCACCGGGGTACACTCTCCAAAACTGCAGGTCCCTTGCACGTGGCATTGGCTGGGGGGCAGGCAAACGACGCCGTCGCAGAGATCTACACCAACGCACGCGCCAGCGCCGTCGCAGGTATCGTTGGTGTACGCGATTCCATCGTCGCAGGGCACGCCCTCGGGGAGCACCGGGTCAGAGCAGCTTCCAAAGCTACAGACGCCCACGGCGTGGCACTGAGAAGCGGCAGTGCAGGTCACGTTCTCGCAGAGATCAACACCAATGCATTGGCCAAAGCCATTGCACGTGTCGTTGGTGTAGACCAGGCCATCATCACAAACTGTGCCCACCGGTGCTGGTGGATTGGAGCAAACACCCTGGAAGCACTCTCCAGGCACGTGACATTGATCCAGCGCCGTGCACACCACGCCGTCACAGAGGTCAATCCCTGCACAGGTGCCAGCACCATCGCACACATCGCTTGTGGTCCGGTTGTTGCCATCATCACACTAGCGGTAGTCATCCATGACAAGGCATGAGTTTGAGCGCACCAAGAATGACTTGCAGACAACCAGTGCAGCCACAAGCCAAACATCCCAGGGGCACGGCATGGAAAGAGCGTACCTCGGTACCAGCGGCCAAGAAAGGATTGGTCGAGCACACGCCGTTTGTGCACGTGGCTTCACCGTAGCAGGTCTCTGGTGGAGCGCACTCCACAGTGGCACAAAGCGAGGTAGAGCGCACGCGGCTCAAAGACTCGTATAGCTCTCGAGGGGCATAGTTTGGGTCGATGCTATTCACGCGGGCTAAGGCTGCGTCGGCCTTGAGCTGCGTGGCGTAGGTGGAGTTTAGGCTGAAGAGGTTATCGTTGTAGGCGGTCAAAGAGCCGCGTTGAAAGCCAACGGCGCAACCAGGCGATGCATAGCATTCGGGCAGTTCCAGACCATAGACGTCAACGCAGGCATTCCCGCAGGGGTAAGTGCGTTCTGGGCACACGAGACAAGGGGAGGGAAAGTCGAATTCCTCTGGTTCGGAGACTTTAGGCATGCATCGCTCAGGGCAAGCACCACCGTCGAAGGTATCTTGCAGTTGGTGACACACCATGCCTAACAAGACGATAAACCAAGTCGTGAGAGAACAGGGGTTGAGAAGCCTCCTTGAGGGTGGCAGGGCACAAGGAATTTGCAGGTGGTAGGCCGGCTACGTACAGTCGTCGCACCCAGCGTACGTGTCGCAGTACTGGCTGTCAGGGCAATGGCTGTGCGCCTCGCAGGGGCCCTGAAAGGTGGCCCGCCAATGGATGGTGGCGTTGGCCAAGGCTGGCTCGGCGCAGAGAACGTCGACAATAAAGCCGCGGGGGTCGGTGACGGGATCATCGGCAAAGGCCAAGGCAAAGTCATCACCATCAATGGCGATCATGTCAATGCTCACGTATGGATCATCAGGCATGGGCTCGGCAAACAGAATGGCAAAGCGAAACGTGTCCTCGCCGGGGCCTTGCCGCGACGCAGTTCCCTGCAGCGTTTCTATAATAGCCACATTGCGACGGAAGCGACACGGCACGTACAAAAAGGAAAGTAAGGTGAGCAGCGGCTGGGAGTTTTGGGTCTTTGATCGCGAGTTGCCGGCCGTTTGCCTTGCAACAACAGCGCTGAGGGAAGAGGTGGGGGCGGGGCAAGCCGTCGAATGGGTAAACATACCAATACCTCCAGCCAAGGGCCAATTTTCAGCCGCAGCAGCACCAAGATGTACCTGCGCCAGCAGGCCGAGCATGACGGCCAAGAGCTTTGCCATGCTGCGCGGTCACACCGCAGCTGGACGCGAGCACGTTTTCAAACAAGGACCTTACACCTCGCAACCCCGCGATCGTTTTGATTTCACAGAAAGCCAATCGCCCAGCAATGCAGCCACCACCACGCCGCCCGCCGCTGCCGTCGTATGATATTGAATGCACCCTCTGCCGCTGCCTCCTCTTGGCCAGGCTCTCGTCGACAATTACTTGTGTGTCTCTTGTCTTTGTCTCTGTCCCTCTGTCTCTGTCTCTCTCTGTGTGCTGTCTCTTTGCTGTTTATTTCTCAAACCAAGTCTGTCTGTCTGTCTCTCTCTCTGTCTGTCTCTCTGTCTCTCTCTCTGTCTCTGTCTCTCTCTCTGTCTCTCTCTCTGTCTCTCTCTCTCTGTCTCTCTCTCTGTCTCTCTCTCTGTCTCTCTCTCTGTCTCTGTCTCTCTCTCTGTCTCTCTCTCTCTGTCTCTCTCTCTCTCTCTCTCTCTCTCTCTCTCTCTCTCTCTCTCTCTCTCTCTCTCT